AAAGTAGACCTGGCAGATCTCAGACTGTCCTGTGGAATTTAATTTAATGTAAATATCATGTCATGTCTGCAAAAGCTTAAAGTTCTTTTGGTGAAACCCTGCTGACCTCCTCAGATATCTAGATATCTTGTCTTAGGTGCTGACCACTACTGCCACCCTAGACCAAAAAGAGGTAAAGCAACCAATTACACTTTCATGTTCTATGAGTCTCTCGCTCTCTCTCTCTCTCTCTCTCTCTCTCTCTCTCTCTCTCTCTCTCTCTCGTCATTTACACATCAATGAGGCAATGGATCAATGTGTGTTTGGTCTTTGTGTTCACATGGGAACAGAACATTGGGTTCTTCTCACCCAGGCAGAGACTTATATTGAATTAACCACCCTGCAATACAATCAATCCAAATACACCCTGACACATACTCACACAGAGGCTTTACACCCTTACAGTGTCGTTTTCCACATTCAGTTGTTAAGAGGGAGTCTTCTTGTTCTTCTCACGTCACAGCGATGAAAATGTAGTAAAATTTAAACAAAACAAGCTTAGCCACCATTGACATTTGCTCCAAGGCTGTTGATATTGTTCTTGTGCACCTGTGCTCAGCGTCACCAGTAACAGGAGACAAGGACGAAAGGCTGAGTGAGTTGACACATATCGCTCCAGGAAACCCACAGCATCACCAGACCGGTCCCAAGACGCTCCCTGAATCCACATGTTATCCTCTGTCTGACAACCCAGGAGGGAATGAGAGAGTGGCAAACATATCTATAACCTCTGGCACAGTTCAACTGTGGTGGAAAAAGTATTCAAACCCTTTACTTAAGTAAATATGTCAGTACAACAATATAGAGATTTAAAATCCTGCTTAAGTAAAGAAGAAGAAGATGCAATTGTACTTAAAGTATCTAAAATAAAAGTATACACTCCTTGCAGAAAGACAGCTATAGTTATGTATCAATGTGCACATCTGGTGGAGGTGGAGCTAATTTTATACAGTCAGGTAGTTCAGCCCAGTTGTTCCCAACATAGGGATTGGGCCCATTCATGTGAGGTGATTAATGGGGTACGAAAGAGGAAAAAAGCAACTCTGCAACACAAATTTGTATAAATCTTTTCAGCTTTTCTCTAATGTTTGCTATTTTTTGTGAAATATTGGATTTTATTATTTTCATTTAAATGAAACTGTCTGAGAAGTTTAGAGGGGAAGTCACTATTTGGTGAAAGTGCTAATAAGTCATAGACAAACATGATAAGGGGCCTTTAACTACACACAGTTTCTTTGTAAGGAGTCACAAGCCAAATAAGTTAAGAACCACAGGTTTAATATTTAACAATACAATGTATTTTATAAGCATTTCGTTCATTCTTATAAACAGGCTTCGGCAAAGTCATTCCCTTGTGAAATCAAAATCTCCAGGAGATCCTCCCATCCTGGTCAACGTCAAATCCACGACACTTCAGAGAACTTATAAATGAATCCCTGAAGCATATACTGATGTTTGACACACACTGCATCACATTTACTACTCAGCACAGAAGAATGTTCCGCGCTGGTGAGTGACAACAATACCATTTGAACTTTTAAAAAGCTCCACAGGTCAATTAGATTTTGTAAATTGTAATTGTAAAGCATTTCAATCAATACATATCCTTAAAAGAGAGGCAAGACTGCCTAGTAGTTGAATTTCAGTTGGTAAATATGGTTAACTCCATTTTGCAAATAACTGTGGCTAAAACAATGTGGATGAATTGAGTTTTGACCTCACATCACTTGACACTTCAAGATCAAGGCATGTGACTGGAAACATTTTAGACTTGCTCATGAACAAAGATCTTTGTGCATGGATTATTATATCTAATAGTAAATTAGAGTATTTAGTGTTTTCAACTGTACTTTCATTTGAAATATTTTACAGAAGCTGCAAAATAGTTACATATCGTAAAAAACAGAAGCATGTTTTTACAGGCAAGTCAGATGTGTTTTACTATGATTCATCAGTGTTGACAATTAACAAATGGCAATTGCAACTTTTAATGACGCTCCTAAAAAAGTCACTTTTTCAGAGTATAAGCTTTGAAAATTCAAATATATGTAAAACTGCTATTGGTACTTAAGCACCTAATTAAATGCTCTAAAATACTGTTTAATATTCTGTTTTGGTTTTTTGTTTTCAGTAGATATGCCTGAAGAAAATCTCAATTGATTAAGTTTGACATCTCCAGGGACAAGAAACTTGGCAAAGAGCTTCACTCCGTCGTCGGTGTGATTAGTCCTTCAGGAGTGCTCGTGGCCTGAGGCAGAGCCAGCAGCAGAGCGAGGTGAGAAACACCATCCACTGAGGGAGCAAGAGGCAGAAAGGTCCACATTAAACCAGAATAGGCCCCTTGATGGTTGTACAAAGAACGATCACAGCCTCTGGCTCCAATAGTCCATTCAGTGGAGGGAGCTCAGGTGTACTGCATGTGAAGACTTTCACAATTTCAAAGAGGTTGTGCAAATCAGCCTGACTCAGAGCTGCTGTAAATAGTCCCAGAGCCCCAAACAAAACTCGACATTTAAGGCCTGTGTTAGAAAAACTGCAAAAACAAGCATCCAATTGTGGTTCTTCTTTGGGGCCCATAAACAGAGACAGAGGGCACAAGGCTCAGGACACATGTAATGGTTTGCTTCATGTCTTCCTCCCGTTATTATTCCATCAATCCAGCCATTATTGTATTTATTCTCCAGGTTATCATCCTTTTCTGGTCAGAAATTAGCTTTAGGAATAGCTAAATGTCAGAAACAGGCTTTTAAGAGCTCCAGGAAATTACCATATTTTCCCTGCCCTTACAAACTAATAGTCTCAAGCAATTGTCTGCGTGCAGAATATGAACCTTGCCATTTTAATTTGGGAATAGCTGCCCTTTTATTCTGCTGTGAAAGGGTGGTGCTTTTCATATGAGTCCCATAAGTGAGTTAGATGTCCCTGCATACAGGGAGTCACAGTTCCCAGAGGAAAGTCCACACCGACACAATAACAAAATAACTGCCTTAGGAGAATCCCTAACGGTGTTTGTAACATGTTTTTGCTCTCCGGGAATTGCCTGGCTTTACTGTGCGATTAGTTTAACTCTACTGAGAATAAACTTCTCAGCATATCAGAAAGGATTATAATCAACAACAGTTATGTGACATGACACGGGCTGCATCATTTACAACTAGAAAACAAGATAACTCTTGATAAACACTTTAATGAGAAAATGTATCATTGTGGCTATGTGAGTGCAAAACCCTGATCACCACTATTCTTATTCTTACTTCATCAGAGTCCTGGTTTTTGCAGTTGTAGAATCATGGAGAGAAATGTGTCTTCATCCCTCAACCCAACCTCTCTCCCAACTGAACTCTCTCTCAACGCCACCGCTGACATCAATGCCACAGTAAAACCCTTCAGTGTGTTTAACGGGTGCGATAATCAGGTAGAGGCCATTCTCTTTGACCTGACCCTGCAGAGCATCAATGTAGTGGTGGGAATCCCTGCCAACTTACTTGTCATTGTAATCCTCATCCACAGTCGCAAAGAGCCTACCACTTCAGACATATTCTTGGGCTGCCTGGCCTTCATGGATGCCTACTTTAGTGCCATGACACCCATCAGCTTCCTTAACCTTTACCATTGGCAGAGCAAGGATGTGTGGTATGCCATTAAGTTCTCCTACGGTGTGAAAGACACCAGTGGACCATTGTTTCTCTCCTGTATCTGCCTAGATCGCTTTGTTGCTGTGCTCTTTCCAATTACGTTTGGGCAGCTTAAACACATCAAGTACAGGTTAAGCCTCTCAGTGCTGGTATTCTGCATCACGTTTGCCTACTCAGGAGCCAAGGTTGTGGGAGGCCTCCCCAACTTCGAGAAGGTGTTCACTGGTGAGATCCTGGCAGCATTTACTTGGATGGTTTTGTGTAATGTGTGCATACTATGGGCCCTGAAGAAGTCCCGTGGCACAGGGAAAGATGAGATGCACCCCATGAAGAAAAAGGCCTTCAAGATGGTGCTCGCTATCCTTTGTATCGTTGTATTTAACTACCTGCCACCTGTAGCTCTCTTTCCCTTTGAAGATCACTACTCCCCTGATGTGTTTCGCTGCTACGTGCAGCCTGTGGGCTTTGCTTTCCTCAACATCAGCAGCACCATCCAGCCACTTGTTTATCTATCTCGTCTGGAGAAAGTGCCTTTCCTCTTAGACACCTGTGTTAAGAAGTGTTGCACCTGTGTCTATGCGGCGATAAACAAAATTCCACCTGCAGAAAATCCACCTGTTCAGATTTAAGAAGGTTTAATACACAGTGACCCTTGTGGATGCTCAGTTTAACATTTGTCTCTAAAGAAGAGGCATGAGAGAAGGAAGTGAATGCTGTGTATAGATTTTTACGTAGAGTGAGGGACACTAATCCTGACAAAATAGAAAGAAAAGAGAAAATTCTATCTTAAAAAATATTCAATAAAGAGTCAACAAGTGTAAAATCATCATTTTAATTTTTCATAAACTAAAAAATGCGTTTAAAGTACTCTCCATTGTAATGTTCTGGACTATAATCCTTCAAAATATAAGTTTGACTTTGGCGCCATCATGTGTGCAGAAGAGACTAATAAACTGTTACCGCACTTTGGACTAATGAATTCTTTCTTTAACTTATCAGATTTATACAATGATGAATGTGTGTGTGTGTGTGTGTGTGTGTGTGTGTGTGTGTGTGTTTGTGCGTGTGTGTGTGTGTGTGTGTGTGTGTGTGTGTGTGGTATAAGTGTATGTATGTTTCTTAAAGTGTGTGGGTTAGAAACATAATATTTGAAAAACAACAAAATATTTATATATATATATATATATATATATATATATATATATATATATATATATATATATATATATATATATATATATATATATATATATATATATACATACATACATATATACATACATATATATGAGGAAAGGACTTGTTGCACACCAAAACCCACCCAAGTACAATCCTAAAACTTCTTGATATTTATTTAAACATTTTCACCAAATGCAAATGTGCTCTCCCCCTCTTCAACCATAAAGAGCAAGTCATATTTAGCCACTTACATTAGCAATTTATACACCATCCCTGAATATTATACTAACTTAACTCAACAATTGGTTTTAAAAGTAAGAGCACTTCATAATGTAGCATTTTATGCAGCTTGACAGAAACAATGATTGGAAGAGCCACCTGCACTACACAGAATAGTTAACGGTTTATTCAGGGAACAATGTTGTTAAAGGAACTGCTCTACATTGTGGGGAAATACGTTTAGAGAAACAAAAGTACTTGGATGAATACTTTGCATGCTCTCTGAGAGAAATTTTACATTATAGGCCGTCAGTACACCAATCACAACTTTTAATTTTTTGGCTCATCCATTAAAACGGGACTGGGATTCTATTTTTATTACCTAATTAACAAAGAATTTATCCAGTTATTGACGCAACATTGTGACAAGTACCTTCTCTGGCATTACTCTCAATGGATGACTGCTGTGTGTATAAAAATATGGAAGTAAAGTTTCAGTGAATGTGTCTGTAAATGCATAAATGAGTGTGTCATCATCAGGGTCAAAAAAAGACACCGTCCCTCTGTTGTAATCCAGCTGCACTTTGACTTGTTTGGGCCTTTTCGTGATTGTCAGTGTGGTGGGTGGCAAGGTCATCGCCCTGAACTCTCCGTCCCTGAAACACAAAGTCCAGAAGCCGTTCTCGGGCCGAGCGGAGATCTCAGCGTCCCTGGGCACAGACAAAGAGGCCACACCCAGGAGCCAATCCTGATTACTTCCTGTTTCCACAACCCAGTGGTGACTTCCTGATCCCAGCGCAGTCATGCCTACAACTTCAGGGCTGATGTGGAAGCGCTCTGGGTTGTCAGGGCAATAGCTTGGCTGCTTTGAATAGCGGAGGGAAGTGAGGTCGCCCGACAGGATGAGGCAGGGATGTGCTGTGTTTAGATCCAAAGTCACAGGAGCTAAAAGACAGGAAAGATTGAGCAATTCTTCTTTTCCAGAATGTGAACCTGAAGAAAATAATAATTTTGCGTACTCACTATAGTCAATATGGTCCAGCATTTTCTCCCAGACTCTATACTTGAGGTTGCCGAGATGCTTTGTCACATCAATCAGTAACCCGGACATGCTGTCTGAACCGAGCTCTATGCTTTTCCCTCTGTAATAACAGCAGATACCTTCCACTGAGAATACGTCAGTCAAAACATCAACGCAAGAAAGAATGTTAATACATAACTTTGTTTACATACCTGTCCTGGGTGTCTTTGAAATTCTGGAAAATGGAAAAAGTCACTGTCAAGCAGGGAAGTTTCTGGGAACAATGATTAAAACAATGATGTATACTGGACTGTACGGACCTTCAACAAGACCATATCATCTTCTTTCAGCTGCTCCTGTATGACTGAGATGGTCTCTGTGAGGGACAGCTCTTCTGCTGAAAGTTCTTTATCCCTATCCTTTATTGCTGCAATCTTCTCGTCTACTTCTTTCTCCACAGCTGCTATTCTGGCTGACTCTTCTTGGTGGAGGACTTCATGGAGCTGCTTGAATTGGCTCTTGATCAATCTCTGTGTTTCCTCCGCTTGACACTGAGGGAGATTATTGCAAATTCTCTTTATTTTAATTGAACAGATTTTTTATTCAAAACCAAATATCTGTCATCTCATCACAGTTTACCTCAATGTACGTGATCATGTTTGCAGAGGTTGTGTGAATTCTTTCAAGGCTGTCCAGTTTATCTTGCAAGCTCTTGAGAGTTAAAGCAAGTTCATCCTGAAAATCAAACAGACCTCAGTCAGCTCAGATCAGATAACTTAAAAGAATGATATTTAATGTTTTTGAGTTTTAGGCCTTTTCATAGCTGAAAAATAGCAGTGGGGATTACAATCAGGACAGACTTGTGGGACCGCATTCTACCTTTAGGTGTTATCTTTATTACATAACAGCAGAGTCAATGTAGTAGGTTGCCTTTACAATGTAGTTGACAAACACAGTGATATATTTATTTTATCTTACCTTGCAGTCCTGCAGTGCCTCCTCTATTGGTAAGCATTCGTGAGTCTTGTGCAGTTTGGAAGATTGACACACCACACAGATGGGCTGTTTGTCAACCAGACAGAAGAGTTTCAACTTCTCCACATGCAGGTTACAGTTACTCTTCTCATCCTCCAGCACTGAACTCTGCCTCCTGACCTGCAAATGAGCTTCACATACATTTTTCAGAGCCAAATTGGAGGGAGCACTGGACTTGGAGACTCTTTTCCTGCATACTGGACACGTACGTAACCATTTGTCCCAACAGCCCTTCAGACAGCTCCTGCAGAAGCTGTGGCTACATGACAGTAAAACAGGGTCCTTAAAGATGTCACAGCATATTGGACATGTAAGATCCTCCTCTGGGATTGACATGATCATTAGTTTGTCATGTACAATATAGTAAATCCACACTTCAAAACAGCACAAGTCCTCAAGCTTTAGGTCCTAAATGATTCCTCTGTTAACAACAAGATGATTTAGCGTGCGTAGTTAAACTTGTCTCCTGAAAGCCTCAGAGCACACTAACTGCCAAACTATTGTTCTTGATGTAGCAAATGCTCTTGGTTTTCCTGTGCATGACTTCTGTGGGAGTAACACATGTAGCTGTGTGAAAAAGTACTGCATGTAGCAGTGCTGAGAAACAGGAAATAAAGCCCTATTGGCCAGTTACTGGTAACTTGTTGGTAACTTGCTGCATGTTTGGAATGACATCATTTAGGAATGTTTCGGTGTTGACACCCACGTAACAGCCCAAGGCTGCATACCTATTGATCCATTAATTCATTGTGTGTGCAATTCACCAGATAAAAAGAATGTACTGTAAATAATATCATGCATCAGTAAATGTAGTGACATTAGAAATTTAGTGTTGCATTGTTGCCCAACACACTTCACAGAAGGTTTTTTATCATTTAGCCGGTGAGTTTTGACCCAGACTGGCTAAACCAGATTTTTACACCAACAGGATTTTATTATACTAACCATATAAGCATGTTAATGTACTGTAGACAAGACAGATTATTGATTGGTTGTGATATGTTTTATGCTATGTATGTGATTTACAGAGTTGGAGTTTGTCTTGATGATTTACACAATAACATGGAATATTTATGCTGCTATGACAATATTTGCTCACATTTTTATGGTCCAGAGGAAGCTTTTTTCTTCCTTTATGAAAGAAAACTGTAACCCAAGGAAGCCAGAATGTGAAATAGGTGGTAGCCCAAAATAGATCAGGCAACACAGTGAATATCTAATCTGAAGTGGCATTGCATTTACACATGTGGGTGCAGGTTGTTGTTCCAAGTGACAAGTTTTTAGAAGACTGTCTCTCATTCTGAATGTAAAAACCCAGCAACATGTCTGCCTTATGGTAGAGACTAGTGTTCACATATAATATAGGCTTTTTTTCCGTCAGTTAATCAGACATGATAACTTAGAAACAATACATACTTCCCTGCTTTAATGTGGAAACTGGCTGAAGGACTTAAAGGATAGGTTCACGATTTTTCAAGTTTATCTTAAAATAATAGTTTCCTCCTGTTCATACCGACCATTTAGAGATCCCATCCTAGTGCGCTTTGGGGACTGGGGACAAAATCTACATTCCTCATTTTATGCAAAATTGTTTTTCCATGGACAGTGTTTCACTGATGAGCTGCAGTGGAGAGATTGTTGAGAACAAAATTTGTTTTTTTGTTCCCATCACTTGCATTGGACATTAGGAAGAAATCTTTTATTTGGCCAGTATGAACATGACAAATGATCATGACAAGAAAAGCTTGTGTCGATGGGCTCCTATATTTTTTTTTAAGACAGACTTTTTGCAAAATTGTAAACCTGTTATTTAATGGACTTTGAATGAAGTTTCGGGACATTTTTTGGCCTTGATGGACAAGTCCATGATGAATTCCCACATTTATGACTTTGCATTTCTTCTAACTTGTTTTGGTTTCTCTTATGCAACCATAAGTATATGTCAGTGTTTTCCCATTTTGATGTAAAAATTGTCAAGTGTAAAGTATTTTAAAGAAAGTAAAGCACACTTTTGACATCCAGACCCTACATGGCTGCACATCCTGGGTATTTTTTCAATAAGACCTCATGGCGCCGAAAGGTTCTTAATACTTTGTGATAACATCAAGTTGATACTTTTCAGAAGTAGTCTACCAAGTAGGCCTAGTCTTCAAACTCAAGCTGATACATCTTACTTATCCTTTGTTCTTTCAAGCAATGGCTGATTGATGGCAGAATACCTCCATGATTTCATTATAGTGCGATACACTGTTAAAACTGCAAAACAACAACCTTGAATCTGAAGGGTGTAGCTTTAATAGGACTCTGTGTGTGTGTGTGTGTGCGTGCGTGCGTGCGTGTGTGTGTGTGTGTGTGCGTGCGTGTGTGTGTGTGTGTGTGTGTGTGTGTGTGTGCGTGCGTGTGTGTGTGTGTGTGTGTGTGTGTGTGTGCGTTTGGAGGGTATGTGGGTGCACTCAGTCCGTGAGAATGGTGACAATCTTATCGATGACTGATGCAGCTCCTCGCATCCTATCCGCCATTTCCACGGGTCTTGGTCCCTCCCTCTCTCCTCCGCTGTTTGGTTGCCATGGCGATGACGTAAAGTTGCACCACCGATTCAGCCCAGTAGACTGTCTTAGAGGCGGTGCAGAAAATCCCGGACATTAGACCGCAGGAGCCATCATCCTGTGAATCTCTGCTGTAAATCTCTTCTGCTCAGGTTCCCAATCTCCTGCTCGATCACCCTCGTATCCTCAAGTCCAAAATGCGCGAAATTGTGCATTTGCAAGCCGGTCAGTGCGGAAACCAAATCGGAGCAAAGGTATTCTTCTGAGTTTTGCTTTTCTCTGTTTTGCGTTCTGGTGATGACTTGTGCAGGCTGCCACGGTGGCGCTGACAGGGGTCGTCTAATACATCCTCCAAGAATTTTCTAGAATAAACCCAATGCGGTGTCTTGATTGAGGTTTGGTGCAATGATTCAAAATTAACGTCATTAACGATAGCTTATTGATATTTCCTGTAGGGCTTGGACTACATTGGGCTCACGTTTCGTGCACTCGTTGATTTACATGCATGCAACAGACAAAAAAAAATCGCTTTAATAATTGCATGTAAAATTAGCTTTAGACATTTCTGCGTTTTTCTCGAGTTCTGCACGCCATTATATCAACGATTATCTGTAGTAAAATGTAACATTTTGCCACAATAGCAGCAGCCTCCCCTCCCCCTCCACATTTATGACCTATTTTCACCAATATTTTTTTTTCTACACCAATTGATGTTGAAAACAAATATCTTTCTACACCAATTCAAAGGGTATTTTCTTATTTTAACATGGACATGTTATCTTTAGTGGTTTAAAGCTTGTTGACCTTTCATACTTTAGTTTGTTCTTATACTATCAAATACCGTTACTTACCAGATTATTGCCATCTGCCTGATTACTCCAGAGACAGTCTGCATTTCAGACTAATACACTGCACTTTAGACCTGAATTAAAGAGAATTAAACTGTCTTGCAGCTTTGCATGTTTAAAATAGCTTCCTGTAAAGTAGCTATGCTCTTTCAGGGTGTTGGGAATCTGTTATCTACCTACTGTTACCTAAGCATGGTAATTTCTTTATATTGTGTTTTTTCTGGGGTTTTTTTTTTTAGTTTTTTTTACCTTGGGCTAAATTAACATTATGTCTCTACCTACTCTCATTCCACGCTTATTTTTACTCAGTTCTGGGAGGTGATCAGTGATGAGCATGGCATTGATCCCACTGGTACCTACCATGGAGACAGCGATTTGCAGCTAGACCGGATCAGCGTCTATTACAATGAGGCCACAGGTAAGCTACAGATTCAGCTGTAATAGAAGAGAGCAAATTTCATCACTCACCTATCCAGCTCTTCTACTATGCAAATGAATTTATTTTACATAGACGTTTGTGTTTTACAGTAAATGCATCATGCTTAACAAGCTTGTTAAGATTTACAAGGAATAACATTGTTGATCCAACTGACCTGATTTCAGGTGGAAAGTATGTGCCCCGAGCCATCCTGGTGGACCTGGAGCCTGGTACGATGGATTCAGTTAGGTCTGGTCCCTTCGGGCAGATTTTCAGACCTGACAACTTTGTCTTTGGTAAGCTATGTGAATTTAGTGAAGATGCACTCACCTGTTATCACATCAGAAATGATTGTGTACATTTTTGAATTGGTCTTCCATGAGAAAACTTTACCCATTTTTCCTACATCAATGAACTGTGACACTCTTGACTACAGGTCAGAGTGGAGCTGGAAACAACTGGGCCAAGGGCCACTACACTGAGGGAGCCGAGCTGGTGGACTCTGTCCTTGATGTGGTGAGGAAAGAGGCTGAGAGCTGTGACTGCCTCCAGGGCTTCCAGCTCACCCACTCCCTGGGTGGCGGCACTGGCTCCGGCATGGGCACCTTGCTCATCAGCAAGATCCGCGAGGAGTACCCTGACCGCATTATGAACACCTTCAGCGTGGTGCCTTCTCCCAAGGTGTCCGACACTGTGGTGGAACCCTACAACGCCACTCTTTCTGTCCACCAGCTTGTAGAGAACACAGATGAGACTTACTGCATTGACAATGAAGCCCTCTATGATATCTGCTTCCGCACACTTAAACTAACAACCCCCACATATGGAGATCTCAACCATTTGGTGTCCGCCACAATGAGCGGGGTGACCACCTGTCTGCGTTTCCCCGGCCAACTCAACGCTGACCTCCGTAAACTAGCTGTCAACATGGTGCCCTTCCCCCGACTGCATTTCTTCATGCCAGGCTTTGCCCCCCTCACCAGCAGAGGCAGCCAGCAGTATCGCTCCCTGTCTGTGCCCGAGCTCACCCAGCAGATGTTCGATGCCAAGAACATGATGGCTGCCTGTGACCCACGTCACGGCCGCTACCTCACCGTGGCTGCTGTGTTCAGGGGCCGCATGTCCATGAAGGAGGTAGATGAGCAGATGTTGAATGTGCAGAACAAGAACAGCAGCTACTTTGTTGAATGGATCCCGAACAATGTGAAGACCGCCGTCTGTGATATCCCACCCCGTGGCCTCAAAATGGCTGCCACTTTTATCGGCAACAGCACAGCCATCCAGGAGCTGTTCAAGCGCATCTCCGAGCAGTTCACTGCCATGTTCCGCCGTAAGGCCTTCCTCCACTGGTACACTGGTGAGGGCATGGATGAGATGGAGTTCACCGAGGCCGAAAGCAACATGAATGACTTGGTGTCTGAGTACCAGCAATACCAGGATGCCACCGCTGAGGAGGGCGAGTTTGAGGAAGAGGGAGAGGAGGAGGTCGCCTAAAACCTCAGCCTACCCATCTGCCAAACCTCATTTCATGTCACCCATCCCCAAGCTCCATCCCTTTCGTCCCTTTCCATCATGAATTGAATGGTCTGCCAAAAACTGTCAATATATAAATCTTTGTTGTCATACTGTTAGACATTGAAGTTACGTGATGTTAGTGAATTTTTTGGTTGAAATGTTTTTGTGTTGTGAGTGCTCTGAATTATTGGCATCCATACATCTGTTCTGTGGATTTTAACAGTAAAGCCTTGAAATTGGAGTATGATTAAAATTTGATTAAAAGGCCACTTGAACTGCTTCTGAGTTTTTATTGATTTGTTTTAATGTGTACTTAATGTTATTACAGACCGTACTGCACTGCAGTGATGTCCTACAACATGCTGATAACGGAAGTAGTTCTCAACCTGAAAGTCAGGTCCCTTAAGAGGGTCACAACATCATACGCAGGGTCCATATAAAATATGCATTCCAAATATTAAATATAATTTTATTCAAATACCAGTTAGTCTTAGCCTGTAAACCTCTTACCCGTAAGAAAGGGAAATCAATGAATGATTTATCTGTGAAGGTTCAAAGTCATAGTTATCCAAAGATGGACAATGAATGATTAACCTTTCTTACAGGTAAGAGGTTTGCAGGCAGTTGAACTCAATACAGCCTGTAAATCATAACATGATGCAAATATGATACCGGTTTACTACAAAATTCCTTTGAAAAGCAGTCTGGGCACCAGCTCTACCTTTTCTATGCTCAGCTGAATTGTATATGTAGGCTTCTCTAATCAGTGGGATGTCTTGCTGAATATGATGTATTTTTTCTCCAAAACTCTGAGTCAGTAACTGGCAATCCAATATTATCAGTGTAGATGATAAAAAATACTTATTTTTTATATGTGTATTCTCTTTATAAATCCTACCTTGATATGTGTTCTAATTTAGGAAAAAGTTAATTTCACTTCAGATCTCAAAATCAAGAGATTTGAGAGGAGCATGTATGTGAAGACCTTACCATACTTTACCAACAACAAGCTCAAACAAGTCCAAACTTCAGTCAGTACCTTACAGTAAGTCAGTTTTATTTATATAACCCTATATCACAAATCACAAATTTGCCTCAAGGGCTTTACAATCTGTACAGTATACGACATCCTCTGTCCTTACACACTCCTTAGACATTTGAATGAAAATGGGAAAAATGGAAGAAAGCTCAGGAAGAGCAGCAGTTTATGGATCCCCCTCCCAGGATGCACAGACATGCAATAGATGTTGTGTACAGAAAAGTCCCAACATAAGGAAAAATAGTGTGGATAATCATTATGACTAAATGATAAATAACTTAAATATGAAGAATATGGATCCAGCAGTACATTGAGAAACCTCATGTCGCCAAACACATAGGACCTGAGCCACACAACTGTCTTTCCACCACAGAGACCTGGAAGAGGTAGAGAGAGAGAGATAGAGAGAGAACAACATGCACATAAGGGGGAGAGAGAGTCAAGAGGAGTGGTTGATGAAGATCCAGATCCAAAACATTTGGAATGAACCACCGACAGACAGGAGAGAGGGAGAGGTACCAGGATTTATAAAATACCTGTACATAAACATACAGTTATACACTCTCTACAATTTTTCATTATAGATAGCATTTTCCCCCAGAAAGACTAACATTGGCTTCAGTGTTTTATAGTCTTTATCAGGTAACAACCTGTACAGTCAGGTACTGGTTGTTACAGGAGCTGAACTTTTCACTCTACCAGGACTCCTTATCTGCCGAGCTGTTTTATCATCCTACAGTAAGACAAATACATAGTTTTGGAATTTATCATTTTTCCCCAATGATTTTTTGTACGTGGTTCAAATACATTTTTATCAAATGTTCCCCTGCTTCATACTCACATCTTATTTTGACTGGGATTGCATACGGTGAACATAATCATACCTTTAGTAACATCATGTCATTTTAAGAAAACTTGTAAATTAGAACAGGATGTTGAGGATATTCTCAAATATCCTTTCAATATTAGTTTCAATGCTTTTTAAAGTAAACTATTTTACAACAACTTTTGTTATTTATTTGACAAAAGCATACATAAGCATGTGACATTGTAAAACATTATCTGCTTGATTATGATGCAGTGCATGATTGATCTCATGAAATAAAAAAAGTTTTTAAATAATGTGATTTTAAATTAGTTTGATTACTTTAAGGAATATTTAAAATGTAAACAACTGCTCACTTTTACTTGATTTAATATCTCAGTATAACCTCATTTTTAATACACAGCAATCTTTCTCAAATAAAGACTTTTTGCACTGTGATGTTCAATTACATTCATTATTAGACTAAAAAAAACATCAGGACTCTCAGAGGCAAATGCTTAAGGTAAAAGATCACTATAAATTAAGCCAGTGACAGTATTTCATAATAGACTGAATCAAATCAAGTACATGTATAAACTGTATATTAAGGCAGCTGAAGCAAGAAAAATATCTCTAAACTAAAATTATTAGTGGTGACAAAATACTGTTTCATTTGTGCGGGGAGAAAAAATGCTCAAAACTTTCTTGAAATGTTCAGTTGTTCTTAAAATCCCCTACACATCCAGGTGCTTTTCTGCCATGTAAGAACCATGCATTCAGGGCTTGTTGAAATGAAAGAGGTAAGTAAAAGCATCAAACTTGGCAACCAGTCCTCTCAAACATAGGAGGATTTTCCTTTCATTGATCGGCTGCAGGGAGAGAGCCTCGTCACACAGGAACGCTACCATGCAAACATTTTGCATCCTGTGTCCTTTTGTACAAACAGCACAAAATCTCAAATTAGTCTTTCCTCCTTTGGTAACTTGAGTGCGTCTGGTGTCGCCACGCTGCTTGCACCAGACTGTTCCTCAGCACTCGGTCTATAGGTCCCTTCGGTCTGTCTCTTCTTTTTCACCACGCAGAGGAGCCAGGCGAGAACAGCCAAGACTATGGCCAGGACACCCAGAATGACCGTAGGGGCCACGATAGCTGCAATGTTGGTCCCCTGAAAATGGATGAATACAAGGCAGTGATCAATATGGTGACACCGGATCTTTTCTGATGTCATTTGATGTAAACGTTTTTTCACTTACATTAGTATTATTAGAACTGTTGTGACTTTCAGTAGTAGAATTTCCTGTGAAAAGGGCAGAAATGTCAGGAACATTGTAGTAATAATGCAGTCTTATCCTCACTGCTTGTCTGTGTATATACAACTGAGCATGGGTCTCCTACCTGCTGGTAACCTATTGGGGGTGTCCATTAGCTAAAAAACTTATAAATAGTTAACTCATAATTTAGGATTTCTTTGACTAGTTGTTTTAATTAACAAGCGCATGTAAACATGTTTTTTTTTTGAGTAACCAGGCTGCTGTATGCTAGCACATGTATCCAACTTCTGCTGTAAATATTCTCAGAGTAATCTGGTTGAATTTAAGTATTTTGAAATTGGTTGGCTGACAACCAGACAACCAGCAGAGACTTCAGATTTTCTTGTTTTCAGTCTTAATGTTAAACTAAGCTAATCGGCTGCTGGCTTCAGCTACATATTTAAGATATGACATCAATCTTCTCATCAAAAAAATTAAATAAGCATATTTATCAAAATGTTTTCCTTGCATGTAAACAGTCACTGAGAAACAATCTATACATAGATGACTGCAGGCATTAAGTGAGATGTGACTTTCACTCCAATGACTAATAACCGAAAGAAAACACAAATATGTTTAAGTGACTTAATATTTTTTAGTGAGTAACAGGAAGCATCTTTAAACCTACTATGACATTTAAAACTGTGCAATTTATTGGCATCAAAGTTAAACAAATTTTTAAATGCAGTGCTGACATTATTAAGTAGAAAAGAGGAACCACCACCACCAGCACAGCAGAAGTTGCTTTTAGCTGTACGCACACTTCCAGGGCAACAAATGCAAAACACAGCATACCATTTATCCCACCAGTCTACTGCTGTTGTTTCCAGCCACTTTATCCATGACCTGCCATGTGACTACTTAGGGACGTCATGAAACTACATAGTAACTACTTGACCAGGAGTGTCAATGAGGAGGAGGAAGAGAGGCTCAGGAATGCATAGTGTACTGCGGCTATACAGTCAGCTGAGTGCGCACAGCACACTTGTTTGAAATATGTGGGGGGGAAAAAATATTGTCACATCTATTATTGATTTGTTTGTTTGTGTTAATCACTACGAATGTACCCAGAACCACTTTAATGATAATGACTTTAAGGATTTTTTTTTAGAAACTTAAACCTTCCTCTACCATTTTCTGAGTCAATCATTCACTAGGGCAAATAGTAAACTTTGCAAGGACACAAGTCCAACTTGATAACAAAAAGGGTTACAGGAAGGGGCAGCCATGCTCGAAAAAGAAAACAGAATGTATTGTGAAACTGAATTCTTTTGTATGTGCAATTATTATCATATTTATCTTTATATAGCTCAAATAGCAGTGTGTTTCTAAATTCATTTCTTAGTCCAATGTTTTTACAACAAGCTGACAAGTCCCTGCACGTTTCAGATTCAGTTGGAATGTCCCTTATGTTGTTGTTGTTTTTTTCATTGCAGGATTTAATGGTGTGTGTGTGTGTGTGTGTGTGTGTGTGTGTGTGTGTGTGTGTGTGTGTGTGTGTGTGTGTGTATGGTGTCAAAAGGATGGTTTATTTGTGTGGGAGTTTTGAAGATGACATGAAGGCATGGTTACTGACTCACCCCACACTGGATTACTGCTCAGTACCAGCAGTAAAACACTCCCAACCACAACTCCAGGTATGGCCTGCACATCCGGACGCGCTGCCATCCCCACCCGTGACCAGCAGGGTCTAGTGTGGGCAGAACGGGACTTTGGGGCATCAGCTCGGGTCCATTTCATTAGCTCCAACATTCACTGTATGGATTTAACGCCACCCCTTGAACAGCTGAAGACAAATTATTGTCAGGAATGTAAGGACCAATCTATGACAAATGCTGAGTTCATTTTGACACTTATAGACTCCTTTAATATGAGGTTTAGTCAAGAAGCTAACAACCATGCAACCACTGACACATGAGTCACAATTTCAGCCTGATGTTGAATCACTATCAAACCTGCTCAGACTACAGGCAAAAAATAATAACCTGTTTATAGCACACGTAGGCCTATAAAAGAATAAAGACAACAGTTAAATCTTATTCGCAACAATATTATATTTAGCCTACTACTAATAAAGAAGACAGTAGGCCTATGTTGTTATAAAGTAAATTTTCCACAGGTTGTGTGTTAGACACGTAACCTTCAGGCTGTTTGCAGGTGATCGAAGCAAAACGGTAAACATTGAGCCGGTTGATTACTCATGAACCATAGCCTATTGCTTCCGCCTCACCTTTGTCGAAAATGAAACTGCAACAAATGGTTTAGTCCAATGAAATGCACAGGTAACATCTGAAGACAAAAAAAGGTTTCGCCTACTGTGCTACTAAATACTTGTATTGGTCCAGTTGGCTTCCAGACTACATCCTGAACTGCACTACCCTACAACTTGGTGTTTTATGTAAAGCAGTTTTTTCCCCCAGTCTAACCTACTCCTCAATTCGCCATTGGTCACATGGTTCAGTTTCGTGTTACATTACCTGAGCGCAGTTATCCACCTGCAGCAGAGCGGACAGATCCTCCATTGTACAAAGTCGAAGAAAAACGCAGTTTACTGAAGCAAAGCAGACTCGGTTTCTCCTGTTGTCATTTCTAAAATAACACCGCAAAATAACTTTTATATTATCAACAAATAACCCTGATTACATTTTTGTCACATTATGCCTATTTGCCGTCTGATACTTGATTTAAACTCAACTTTTTTGAATAGGCCTAAGCTATGATAGCAGGCTGCTCTCACTTGCTCCAACCTGCTGGAATACAATGTTTGACTGTGTTCCTGTACAGCTCTTACCTAGCAACCTGGCTGGCCGATGGTGGTGTTAGTGGCATGAAATAGCGCCTCCATCAGGTTTCATGTTACCCAACACGAGACTGGATATCAACATTCCTGAGATATTTTAAGGATGAATTCGGCTGCCAGCTGGTCCAGTGGGCTCTAATCCTCACCTAATCTCCCCTTCTCAGACTCAGAGGGGCAAAGAAAATGTGGTCTGCTTTAGGCCTAATGTGTGGTGGTCAAATAGTTTTCATTTGGACAGTGTGTGAGAGCAGCGAGGCGTTTTTGAAAAGCAGAGACGTGCTATGGAAAATTACAGCTGTGAGTCTGATGAGTTTTGTGTGTGGTTTTGTTTAACCATTTTATACCATATTTCAGTAATGTGTGATTTACAGTAGGCTAATGTTTGAGAGTAGACACAGTCAGACAGACAAAGTTAACTAATTACCCTAATTTAAAAAACTAATAGGGTAACACAATACTAATATATAAAATGTAGTTGTCATAAATAATGGCAATATGGAGAGTAGACATTGTGGCCCACTGACGGAATTATATGGGATTTTATTCCATAATATCACAGAATAGCTGGATGGTCATTACATTCAACTAAGATTCATTCAATAAAAAAATGGAGAAAATATTTCATTGCAAAAAAGGCATGACAGCCGATGAGAAGGTTTTACTGTCTTTAATGTAGAAAAGCTATGTACAAATTGCTTCTGTCTTGTTGTATTTCCTATATCTATATTTGTATGTCTTGAATGTTTGTCTAAATCCTCTAATCTCTGTCACCTACTGACCAATGGAGAACACTTTCAGTTTCTATACACATATTTGTAGCTCTTCTCCCTGGTATAGGCTACATGGTTGTCTTCCCAGTTGCATAAAGCATTAGGGGAAATAGCCTGAATAAGTTGTCCTATAGACTATGGCTGCAGATATTGGTTTACACAGGTTGTAGAAATAGTCTTGCAATGAAATTTATGTATATATATATATATATAATTATATAATTATATAATTATAATAAAATATATAATATATATAATTGTTTGCCCTTCTTGGGATTGGACACCACAGAATGTATTTTATTTTACCTCCCAACTTATTATGTTTTGTATAATAATCAAAACAGTAGCAACGTGCCTGCAACATAATGACTGATTTGAGAGTTGACAGGTCCAAGGAAAATAAGATTAGATTTAACTTTACTGTCATTGAGCAGAGTATGGGTACAGAGGTAATGCAATATAGTCTATAACCAGAAGTGCAGAAATATAATGGCTAAGCCACGGTGCAATAATGCTTCCAACTTCATTTAGTAATTTGGTTGATTCAAGAAAGAATGATGAGTTTATGGTTAAAGTAGGCCAATTAACTCAGAAATGTGGGCAATGAGCAATTCATTTTCTGAACCCAGACCTCTCTATAACCGTGCCACCAGGGGGCGATAGATGCACTTTGCTTTTCCCGCAGTGGAGGCGGCTCCTCTTTCACGCCGCACCGCTTACCGTAGGCGCGGAGAAGCCTGGGTAGGACAGGGAAAGCGGCGGGAGAGCAACATATCTATCCGCAAATTTAATAAAGCCTGGTAAACGTTATAATCAATATTAACCGAGTGAGTAGTGTGTATTTAGTCGTATTAATAAGGCTTAGATTTGGTCAAATTAAAGGTGTTTGGCAGATAATACCGTGACTCCGAGAACTGCTTGTGTTGCAATATTGCTTTTGAAGCATTCCCCGGGAAACTGGTTTGAACGTTTGTTTTTGGCTAGCCCCCTTTTTGCGCTTCAGCAACAATGGCGAAGGTACAGGTGTTGAATGTGGCTGTTTTAGATAACCCGAGTCCATTTGGAAACCCGTTTCAGTTTGAAATAACCTTTGAGTGTATGGAGGACCTCCCCGAAGGTAGGTACCATCGCAGAAAAGCTTTCATATTTGTGTGTCTGAGGTCAAACCGTGAGCCACTTGCTAGTTTAGTGTATGTGCTAGATATTGCTAACGCTAGGTTAGCTAGCTATACATGAGCTAACTTTATTCAGAAAGTCATCAAAATAATAAAAAGGTAACGTAGCGTTACAAGGTAATAACTAACGACAACTAACAATAGCCAGCTTGACTGAATGCGTTCCCCATGATGGAGACAACTTTAAGTTGTGTAACGTTAATAAGTTATATATAGGTCAGATCTGTGAAACTTAGAAATATGCTAATGCAGACTATTAAAATTGTCAGTGACAGCTTTCGTAACGTTAGCCTGAAGTGCATTCAGCTCATACCTTTCATTTCAATAAGTTACTAGCCTTTGTCATTCCTCGAGTCTTGTGAACGTATTTTTCAAGGGCTGCAGTGTAACATTAACTATAAAAACGTCACCAATAATCATTAACGTTAATGGATTGAAAGTATTAACACAGTAGAGTTCAGTGTCTACTCTAATGTGCTTTTATACCACGTAACGTTTGTCAAAAAGTGACAACATTTTGAGCTACACTTTGCTATTACAATATACTGTATGTTTAAAATATTATTGATAAATTATATATCAACTTTGCTGTGCTCTTTTTTGTTCATAGTAGGATGTGGATTATTGTTTACATAAAATGGCTATTGTTCATACACAACAGTTTGCAGAGGTAAAAACAGAGCCTTGGAAACTTTGATCTGTGTCTGTAAATGTGACTATATTATATAGACTAATTTTTGTATATCAAGCTCTTGCTATGGACAGTAAATGAAACATTCTTGCCAATAAAGTGCATTGAACTGAACTGAACATATGATTTGAGATTTATATGTGAAGCTTTACCCAGGCTGTGTTAAGTATTTTTACTAGTACAATCAATACTACTAATACAATCAATTCGTCAATATTAATTGGCATGTTTTATGAAGGCTAATCTAATTGGTTAATTGCTCTAGCAGTACATTCATACCTTATCCTTTTTATAGGGAAATCTAACTTCTCTTTCTCTGTTTTGTTTTTTGTTCATTTTTTATAGACCTGGAATGGAAGATCATCTATGTTGGTTCAGCAGAGAGTGAAGAGTATGACCAAGTCCTTGACTCCGTATTGGTTGGCCCAGTACCTGCTGGGAGACATATGTTTGTGTTTCAGGTGTGTTTGGTTGGGGCAAACTAACTGAAACAGTGCCTTGTGTTGCCTGCTACGTCTTTCAAATCTGCAATTGCATTCTCTTGCCTTAAAAATTTAAAATATTTAAAGTTTTTAATTAAAATTATTTCTCTCTCCTGCAAAGCTTTATATTTGTTCACAAAGCAGTTTGAAAGATCAGAAATTACACTTTTTAGTCACTTTTACATCATTCAGACTACCAGCAGACTATACTGCAGATCTCATGCTCACACCTGTTCTTCTGGACATGTGTCAATCATGCTGCCACACAGTTGTTTTATATCATGTCTCACTGGGGGCAGTTGTTTTTCCAGTCAAAAACTGGATGCTGTACATACAGATAGTGGCTACTAGAGCCTGTCTAATAAATCGGCTGGTATTGGCTCATTTCAGATATTTTGGTTTCCGCATTTATGTCAGCAGATAAATGACAAGAAATTAAGTACAGAAATGCCAAAGAAATGTTTTGAAACAGTGTCACCATTCTGTAGTTCACTATAAACAGTCTGTCCGCATGACAGTCTGCCATGTTAAAACGCTGGTAAATTATTTAAATAATTTTTTGCGTTGTGGCTACGAGTGTGCGACTATCTTCAGCCACACCTGCTCGTGGCATAATAACATTAACCAGCAGCCTCTTGTCCTGCATGATCTGCGGAATCATGGAAAGTCTGTTTGGGGCTATACAGGATCATAAACTGCCTCAGGAGCCCTTATGGTGCAGGATCAGTCAGACATTAGGAAATAATCAATGGAAATACATTTTGAGTGGAAACGCAAATTTACTTGCCTCATCTATATTAAAATTTGTTTGTAATAAATATTAGCAAATATTAATTTCAGTTGGTCCACAGTTAATCAGTGCAATCCTGGTTTGAGGAATCTATAAGTTGGGACAAAATGTGTTTTTAAAAAAATGTAATGTATTTCTCAAACAATGCATTAAATTTTTATTTTATTTTTTTAATATCACAACCCTGGTGCCACAATCCCCATTTGACAAGTGGACAGTTGAAAGTTGTAATGTACAAACATTTTTGCACATTTTAGTGTTGTTTCTTTTCACAGGCTGATGCCCCCAACACTGGATTGATCCCTGAAAGTGATGCTGTTGGTGTGACTGTAGTGCTGATTACCTGCACATACCGTGGCCAGGAGTTCATTCGCATTGGTTACTATGTGAACAATGAATACACAGACCCAGAGCTTCGTGAAAATCCACCGAACAAGCCAGACTACACACAGGTCAGACTAATGGTCAATTTCTGAATAATCTGAGTTCTGTTCCCAGCATGACTGCCTAATGCTTACTTCACCAGTTTGAAATAATAATACTTTTGATAGTAGTATATCATGAGCTTGAATGCAGGGTTTCCGCGGGGTCTTAAAAAGTATTAAATTTCAAAATCAAACTTTAAGGCCTTAAAAAGTCTTAAATTGGCTGAAGTTCTAGGTCTTAAATAATTTTAAACAGGTCTTAATTTTCCAATGTCCATGTAACGCTACCTCTAATACTCATTGAAATGCTCCCAAAGCGCTCAAGAATGTTTTTTCCTCCCGTGGTGTTGTAGTTTTTCTTTTGCTAGTCCAAATATAATTCTCTGTATGACTACAAAGACCAACATGCAGCTGTCGTGTTAATGTCGCGAGTCTATTTCGTTCTAGATTCTAGATTTATTTATCACAAACTAGCTGCTTAATGAATGAGCGCTGCTACTAAAATTTCACAGAATCGTTAATGATTTTCAGCATGGTAACACTGAACACATGGCTGTCTCCCTCTCCTCATTCTTCAAAGGACGGGTTAATGTGAGAGAGAGCGGCAGAAAGTGACGGTGAAAGTTAGCGGAGGATAAGATCAGCATGAAGTTGTTAGGTTACAGCTCTGTCCTGTGCTGTACATCTTGATAGTTAAATTATAAAGAAAGGACGGTGGTGACCACAGAGGAGCTGAGGTTAGTAACGTAAAAGCAAATTAGGGATGCAAACTAAAGTTAGTACTTTTAAGCTAATGAGGAGATTATTCTTTTAGATGTTGATGTACAAATTAAATGTTGTAATAATACAGAAGGGAGGTGGTTCTCATGTTGCCTGTTATTTATGTTAGTTTCTACAAATGTATAAAGCAATAAACTAAGACACAAAAGGCATGCCAGCTTGTTAATTACGTAGCTTATCAATGTCATCGTCCATCCCGGTGTTTCATTGTAGACATCGTCCAATGCCAGCTTCGTAGACTTCACCCAATGCTAATTTGAATAATTTTTTTTAAAACATTTTTTACTCTGTAAGTCATTTTGTGACTACATTTCCTTTGTACGTTTATTTTTTTGATGTCGTGATATAGGTCTTACATTTCATTCATAGTGGTCTTAAAAAGGTCTTAAAAATTTGACCAGGTGAAACCTGTAGAAACCCTTTGTGTTGTGAAGGAATTTTGCTATAAAAACTATCTTAGATAAAAAATTATCTTAAAAAGTACACCATAAAAACATTAATAAACACACATTTTTAATTGGTGAAAGATCAATATACTACACAAACATAGTATTTAAGGACATGTTTTTTAATTGTATTAACCATGTAAATAGCAAGAACAAAGGTAGTCATAGAGCAGCATGGTGGACTAATACATTTTAGAATTTAAGCTTGTCTTTCTGTTGAGCCTGGACTTTGGAACAACAAACAATAGTTTGATCCTTCAAAAATTGCTAATAATCCTATCAAATTCCCTTGGTTATGTAACTAGTTAAGCAGAAATGTTACTATGTTCTTAATTCAGATAGTAACCTCAGTAATACTACTGTGAGTTTTTCTGTGCCTGATTGAATACAGTTGCGAAGTTGAATTTAAATGTAGGTTATTATATAGTTGTTTATTTGATTAATCATTCTTAGATGAATACCCTTCAATACCTTTGTACTATTCTGTTCTACAGTGCAGGGTTCACATCTTCTTGCCCTGAATCTATATGCGAAATGAAGTGGGATGTATTGCTAACTGATAGTAGCAATATGCATATATTGCTGAAAAGATAATGTTTGTATTTTTAAACCTTGGCCCTGTATTCACACATTTTGGGGTAAAGATGACTAATAGGTACAAAATATTTTTGAATCCGTGCAGTAGCTTCAGCCAGCAGCCTCTATGTATTTCTTTGAGGAATTTAACAAATACATCCACAAAAGGTGCTTCTTTTTGCCACCCACAGGCTCAGACTGTTATACCAGGTGTCTGAAAACACCATGGAAATGATCTCGATAGAAACGTGAGTTAGAGAGAGGAGTTTGTTGTGTTGGAGTAACATTGGGAAATAAAGTCTTGCTAGCAGTTTCTCTATGTACACAAGTTACAAACTGTTGTGGGAATTATATTCCTTGTGAGGGGTTGAGCAAATAATTGAGTTACAAAAAAACATTGTCTTTGAAGAATTTATTTAACAAAAGAGAATAAACAGAGAAGTACTAAAACAAAAAGCCGCCTAGGGAAGCTTTGTGAAAATAGCTCCCAGGTTTTAAAATGCTTGTTTTGCCCTTTAATGACTGCATCTACTTATACAAAGTATTTACCTATATTTCTCTCTTCCCTTTTCAGCTCCAGAGAAATATTCTGGCATCAAATCCACGTGTTACCAGATTCCATATAAACTGGGAAGGTTGTGCAGAGCGAATGGAAGACTCTGAAAATGTGGATCCCACGTCAAACTCCATGCTTCCTCCATCCTGTCTCCCAGGCAAGGCCCCACCGTTGGGGATTCTACCAGATAACTCTATGGACTGCTTATAGAGACGACCCCTGCCCCAAAGGTGATAACTCACAGCACGAGACCTTATTTTTGAGGAATGACTATGGACATTCTAGTGTGGATATACAGACATCTTTGCCTTACAGCTGCCCTTTATTTACCTGAAGCTTGTCAAAAAGGAACTCTCACCTTGGCATTCAGATGAGGAAGATTATGAACGTTTCACTGGTATACTCATCACTTATAGATGGGGGATCATTGCCATGACGTTATGAGCAATATTGGAAGTAGTTTAACTCATGGAAGGAAAAACTGTAACTATGAAAATATAAAGCTGAACTGAGACAGAACAGAAAGCTGATGTGTGATTCACCTTCCTTGCTTTTGTTGGTGCAAAACTGATTTGTACCCATTTAAGAGGATTTTATCACTGAAGCAATAGGCAAATAAACTGCAATATGTTGCTGTACAGGAATTTGATAATCTGCCTTTATGTTTGTGTTCTAATTCTTTTGCACTTATACTTTACTCCACCTAGATTGTGGAGTTTTTGTATGGGCTTTGTATGGGCTATGTCAAGTCCTCTGTGTTTTTTGTTGCAATTTTGGGTTCCAAAATAAAAGGACATTGCATTTGTTATGTATATGTGTGATAGTGATAACTATGTTCCTCCTAATTTGCTTATTTTGTTTTCCCTGTTTTAAATTCCGATTAGAGGAAGGAAAACAGTATTATCAACCACTTTTGAATCCATCTGTGCTGAAAACAAATGTTTTTACTCTTGTCCTTGCTAAGAATGTACCAAACATTTTCATGATATCATTTCATGATAAGGTTAAACACAACATTGCGAACTCTGTAAGACAAATATCAGTATCTTGTATTTTCACATTTTACTAAAAATAGCCTGAGTTAACGTCACACCCAATCACAATCGGTCGGGTGAAAGGGGTGGCTAGGCTACAAAACTGGTTTTGGAAAATACTGCTCTGCAAATAGGATGATGAATGCAAGATGTAATGACCTGCGTTTGACTTGTATTCTGCACGAAAATTGAGACAGATAAATATAAACAGGTGATCAAAGCAACAAAGAAACAAACAGTTCAAGTTACTGGCGTTCTTGCTAGTACCAAGTCCGGGAGGCGGGACAAAACGGTTTGACAGAAGAAATGATTGGATGTGTTGGTGTTTGTCCAATCAGCACTTGATTTGCGATGTCTGTCGCACGAGTATCAGTGTATGTAGCCAACCAGAGGTAGTCAGAGGCGGGACCCGGTGGATGGATGACTGGAGTTTCCCTTGTGGTCTGAAGATTAATGGAAGGGGTCTGTTGATCTTAGGAATCGACTATCAGATGGTCGGTCCCAGGAAACCATTGCACTTGATGCCTGGCTTAGAAACGAATGGAGAGAGATCCACTTGAAAAAACCAACAGCGGAAAAAACGAATAACTTGGGCACCACTTTTGCCATCCAGGTCTCAATTAAAAAGGCCTGCCTACACAGAGATAGCACCTGGTTAGTTGAGGCCAGGATACGTCTGCCAGGGACGCTGAAAGCTAACGCTAGCTTGTTCGTTAGATAGACGGAAAACAGCTTTCGACGATCTGTCTCATGCTCCGGATAGAACTTTTTTTGACAAACCAAACCGTCTCTGGATATAAAGGAGAGTCGAGTGACATCTTGATATGCTCACTTGGAAATTGACGAGCTAACACCAAAAAAGCTAACATCCACTGGCCATCTCTGATAGTTAACGTTAGCTAGCGTGCTAACCTAAAGCGTTAGTGTTAGCTGTATTTGGCTTTTCTCTCTTGGTTGGAGTTTTTCGAACACACCGAGGACAGGTATTGGAGGAAATATATTTACACTAGTTATTTAATAATGATAGCTGTTAGCTAGTAGCTAGCTGTCAGCTTCACTGAGCCCAGCGACTGCGTTAGCGGTGTAGCATCACTCAACGACTTATAAAGGAAAACTCAGTCCGAGCCCAGGGACTCCACCATCAGCCTGCCATCATGGGCAACACGCCCACCGCAAAGAAGGGCAATGAGATGGAGAGCGGTGAGTACCCCTTCACCCACAGCTGCAGCAGCTAGCTATATCATGCCGCCTGTCAGTGGATGTTTTTGCTGTACATATTAACTGGATCCTATGATGACAGCCGAAGTACAAACTAACACCTGTATAATACATCAAGGCCCAAAGACCCTGACATCATGTTACATTGCTCGCACACTATATTCTAATATGGAGAACTGATTGGGCTTAATACTTTACTGGGTGGCAACTTCAGTTGATACAACTTGAAACATGTCCGTTGCCATTCGCACACACATAAACTTCAGCTAAGCTATTTTGTTAAGACACCATGTTCATCTCAGCTGAACAGCAGAGGATGTTATTCCTTCTCTCTGCAGATTCTATGGTAAAGCTCGTGATTAAAAGCCCTAGGTTATATTCAGAGGTACCAGTGAAGATGACAACAACCAGCCTTGTACAACAGTCAGGTTTTTTTTGTGGTTCATGTGTTTCAGATGTTTTTTCCCCTCTCTCCTCTCAAAAGATTATGAAATGTTGCAATAACATTGGTGTGTTTATTTTAGTAACCTAATTGTTTCAGTACAACATATTGTGCATTTAAACAAAGGGTATGTTTTTAAGAAATGCAGAGATTTGAAGTATGAGTGGAGACGCCCACATTTGCGGGTGTTTAATGGAAGGGATGAGTTGAATCTCAATGCAATGTGGACCTGAGCTTTGAATCCCAAAAAGAGTAAGAGGGAGTTTGTTGTTATCAGAGAAGGAAAAAGCTACCAGGATGTGGTCATATGATGCATGATGGTGATCCTCTCCAGGCAGAAACTTGGGAGTTGAGGAGTCTCTTGAATATCATGTGATGAGCAGCGTTTAGAACAAGGGCACTTGTATGTGTCACTTTGTGTGTGTGTGTGCGCAGTTTCGTGTGTGTGAGACTGCTCTTGCCAATCCTTTTGTGAGCCGCTGCTCCCCACAACTTTTTATTTTGTTGATGAGCTTGTCAAACATTCGACTGACACCAGTTTGTATCACTTTAACATTAAAAAAATTAATAAGGGAACATTTGTATAAGCTAACACAATAAATGAAAATTATCCACATTATGAACCCAAGTGTTTGGCCACTAAATGTTAACTACATCCTATTTCTTAATAAAATGCTTGTTAACCCAATCCAAGCAATTTCCTTTTTTCCAGCAAGGATCACTGGTCCTAGAGGAGGCCTGGGAGGACACCGTTTTATGTTTTTATCCATGACACCATAAATAACGCTCAAGAGTGCAAAGTCTGAACAGGTATCTGCAAAATGAGTGTCAGCTCTATGTTGCTGGTAGAGAGTATGTGTGAAGAATGCCCTCCAGTCCCCCTGTAACGTTAACCCATCAGTGGTAACTCCTGTAACAAGGCCCATGGCGTTCAGGTGTTAGAGCACAGAGATTTTTTATGCTGAAGTAATGGAAATTGGGGGGATTTGAAGCAGGGACAGAGGAGGCACTGGTGGAGGGAGGTTTGTTCACATGTCATGCTTCACATCCTTCTCAGCCTGATCACTTTGGGTTCACCCTGATCCCCAGAGACAGGTGCAGACCACGGGTCCAGAGCCCACACCCAGGAGCGTAATTTTCCACAGAGCAGCTAGAGATTAAGTACGACATGGCAGCCTGTTTTGGTTTCTACGGAAAATGGAAGAGTGTTGAGAGCTTGTTCAGGTGCGAGGAGTCTGTTTCCCTTGAACTTTCCCTGCTGGAGAAGACGAGCAGAGAGTCGCTTCACTAGTATACAAAGCTGATTTCTGGCCCACAGGAGGAAACAGGGCGGATTGACACTGAACTGCAGCAGGAAATGAAGGAGCAAGGAAGGTCCAGCCCAGGCTCTGCATCGCCTACTGCTCTATAAACTAAACGCAGCCGGCCAGGATCCATTTGAAGTTTTGGCCCTTAAGACGCTGTTGGTATCACATTCTGGATTTTCCACTTGTTAGAACCTCTGGACATACTTCAGATTTGAGACTCTACACTGGCTGTCAGCTGGCTTCCTCCTGCCTTGTATGATGTCTGTTATTCACAGACTGGCAGGAAGGCTGTTTCAACGAGCCGGGCCCTGTCTAGGGGACACGGGCAGTGGAGAAGGCAGACATGACCAACCACAGGAGGAGCTAGAGGCTTGCTGCTGGAGTGAGTTTTCATTCTGGAGCTGGATAGCAGTACGGGTTAGGGATGGAGCTGTGGTCCATGCTATGTCCGACTAGCTTAGCCAGTCACAGACTGAGCTCAAACTCAAACATGTAACAGATAATCAAGCTGGGGTTTTTTCTTGATAATGTTTGTTGCTAAATTCATATCATGACCTGGTGAGTGTCTGTTGGCTTTTTATGGAGTGATCTTTTATACTGGCAGACATTGGTTGTACTGATATTTAAGCAGCCACGGTATACGTGTGTGTGCGCACATACATATGTCCATGTATACGAATACACATGCAGAGCAGCCTGTTTGTCTCTGTTGACTATTGTTTTGTAGTTACAGTTCCAAGGAAGATATGTATCACTTACTGTGGAAGTGTCTGTTAGGAGCCATGCTGCAGACCCACCCTAACTCTATCATGCTTAAACTGTTAAGCAGTGTAATAATGAACCTGTCTAAGCACACACACACACACACTTTAATTTTTTGTTACAAAGCTGTTGTGTCATTGTTCTTCTCACTGGGATGGCTCTTGTAAGTCTGCCTGATTGTGTGCTTGTTTGATTGCTTGGAAATATTTTCCTGTTAAGCACTTCTTAAATGTCTGAGGAAGACGGTGCACACAGCTAGTTATGACATAAGGGATTATTTTATGGAATCTTGGTCATATAATGAGGTGGCACCCTGTCAAAGTACAACTCCCTGTATCTATAAATATCTTTGTGGTTCATGTCCTGCCCCTGCTCTGCATGCAGCTGGTTTGTGTAACAGGGGTAGGTTTGTGTTTGGATCGCTCATCACTTCCTGTCTCCAGTTAAAGGGGCTTTGTTGTAAGCCTGCACTGATTACCAGTGGACCTTACTGTTGAAATGCCAATCAGCCACCTCAGATAAGCTTACAGCATGGAACTGGCAAGCTGACATGCTACCAGGGAGTGATCCTGAGATGCAAAATCCTGTAGCAAGAAAAATAAAACTGAGGAGGGAGTTCAGTGATTGGAAAAGGAACACTAGTTTCCTTTGGACTCTCACAGCAACTACAGTCGTAGTGGTAATCATTGTGTCTGCTGGATTTGAAAAGTTGCAGTTACAGTCAGTGATACTGAAATACAGCTACAGAAATGAGGGCTCCAGAAGAAAACCCTCAAGCCATACCTAATCAATCTGACACTGTTGAAATCACTTGTAGTTCTAAAAAGTTTTGGAATCCATGCAGTAAATGGCTTCAGCCAGCAGCCGAGATCCAGTTGCAATGGCTGCGATGTATTCCGTTGAGGCAATTGATCCTGTCAAAATTGCATCCACAGTTGCTTTTTTGCCACTGACTGGCTCAGACTGTTAAACCAGGTGTCTGACAACATCATGGAGAGGATCCATTTTTAACCAGAAACAGAAGTCTCGCTCAAGGACAATTCTCACTTTGAAATCTCGTGAGACGTGAGTAGTTGCAAGAAGATGCCAGTAGAAACGTGAGTCAGAGATGGAGGGAGGAGTTTGTTGTGTTGGAGTAATGTTTAGAAATAAAGTCTTGCTAGCAGTTTCTCTATGTACAAAAAAAACTCCCCTCCCTTGTTTTCCACCAGCTTTTCCTGCAACAACTCATCTACTGCACAGATTCCAAAACCTTTTGGACCTACTGGTCATTTCAACACCAAAATATGTGAAAAAAGGTTTAAAAATACCATAATTTAATTTGCTATTAGATGGCCACTATATATGTGGCAGTTTAGCTTTTAGCCTCCTACCAATTAAAGGTATTGGCAGGAACTAACTTGATCTGTATGAAATACACTATAACCTACACAGAAAAACACAGTGAGATTGTGTGTTTGGTTTTTCAGCCTTAGTGATACTGAGCATCTCTAATGAATGCTCAACAACAATTAGCCAATGAGACACATGGATGCGTGCATTACCTGTCTTCCACGTGCATTTGAATAGAGGGGAATGGACAATGAAAGTGTGACTTGACCATCAACTCCGTTTGTCAGCTCCTGTGCTCCTGAATTGGTCAATTTAACCAGCCAATTCAATTCTTACCGTAGGATGTAAAGTAACTTCCCATTGGTAGTTTTCTTGCTGCTTGCTCACCAGGCACGGTCAAATATCCACCGACGGCACAATGACTTTACACAAATGAAAATACCATCCTGGTTAAATGCAGCTCTGTCTTACCCTCTGACTGATTTCTTATGCACCACACGGGGATGTATGCTGTCTGAACAAGGCCTGGTGTAGACTGGGACCTGATTTGGCGCGCTTCAGTTAAATGTCGGTCAGCTCGCCCTAATATAACCCCCTCTGTTCCTGCGTCAGAGTGGGCCAGTGAGGCCCGGGGGAGAGATGTAGGATTGATTTTTTTTTTTTTGGAGGATCGATTCAGCGCTGGCACTACATGGACTCTCTCTGGTGCATTTGGGCAGGGAGAAGAAGTTTCACTGTGGTTTGTGCATTCCTGCTGTGCTAGTGTCTCCTGAGAGAGCCACTTTTATGTTTTCGAAAACACCCAGATGAACTCTGAAAGTTTTTCTTCACAGATGCGACATCTGATTGGTTCTGCTAATTAGGGAAAGTTTTGGTTGCATCTAGATGTGTCTACTTCATCTCAAGGGTCTTTACTCAGGCCTAGTTTTCCATAGGACTTCCTCTCTGGGTTGGATAAATATACCAGTTAGTGTTTTACACCCCTCCCCCTGGTGATTATGCCCCTGTTCAGATCAATATATAGCCTCTGTGTGTTTGCGTGTGTGTTTTACATGAGAGGGAACGGCAGAGAGTACTTTGTGCGCAGAATAAATATTGATACAAACCAAAGCAACGGTCCAATTGATCTGTGTGAATGTAACTGGAGCAGTGCTGTTCTCCATGCTAAATTTGTCTACACACTGAATGTGGATGCTACTTTCTGAACTTGGTCCCCAGAAAGTGACAGTCACAGGAAAGGCTGGAGACAACCTGTCGGCAAGGACACTTGACTGGTTTTTGTGGATGAGTGAGGCTGCTGGTCCGACCGGAGTGCTCTCAGAGGGGGAGGATAGGTCATGAGTCAGTGACTGTGAGGACGAGGCCAAGGAAGAAGAACTGGGGAGACTTTTGCAGGGCTAATGTGTGACAGGAAGAGCTCCAGAAGGCATGCAGGGAAGAGGGAGTCATCCTCACGCTCAAGTGAATCAGGATCGCGCTCGGCAGATGCTGCAGCACCAGAGGTACCCATAGTCATCCCAGATGGTAAGGAATTTAAGGTTACTTGAGAGTTGGGTTGTTGAGTCTTTGATTGATCAGTTACCATGGCAATTATGTCAGCCAATCCACGTAAATCTAACATATAGATTTCCTCAAAGACAGTTGTTGATTTGTATTTTTTATTTATTCTCGGCTACTTTTGCAGCAGCACCCACGTCTTTCCTCTAAGCAGCACCAAGTTATGACACGAATAGCTCCATTTGTGGCTCTTTCTGCTTGGAAGTGGGAGTTGAGCAATTTTCACAGGAAATGTTTTCTCCCTGTTGACCAGTCTGCTTCCATCACTGTCTGTGAGAGCAGCAGTGCTCTTGACATGTTTATGCAATGTTTGGACTTTGCCATTCTTGCTGGCTTTCTCCTATCCCATTGTTGGAGCTTTTGGTCTTCGGGGAATTAGCAGGAAATCACATTAGCAAGATCAGGATTAAGGTTTTGTGTGGTTTTCGTGTGTGTGTGTGTGTGTGTGTGTGTGTGTGTGAGAGAGAGAGAGAGAGAGAGATGCTCAAAAGGTTTCATGAGAAATTTCTGTGTAGAGTTAAAGCTTATCAGTTTAAATATCAATATCCAAAAGTTGGTTGTGAAATTACTACGCATTCACTATTGACTGGCTTTACTTTAATTGTGCAATTACCCAGGCAGATAGACATTCCACATTTTCCTTACAGACTTAAAATGGCTCATGGTTGTGCTGGTTTTTAAGTTGTTCATAAATTCGTATAATCACATGAATTAGTATTAATGTAATTATCCATTATTTCTACTTTTTTATTTTCTACTAAGATTTGTAAAATCTTGTGTTCAAAATGATAAGCATGTAATTTGAAGCATGATATATTTTTTTACGCCCCTGCTTGAGCAGAGTACATTCAAACTATTGTCCTACTTTGACAGTTATGTATATTTACAACCTCAACCATCTTGTGTCCCAGGCTAACAAAATCTAAAAAAGGTGTGCTCCCTCATAAACTGGGGCAGCTAGTGTCCTCAAAACTAGTACACAGACAGTAAGTAGAAATGAGGAAGGACTGGTTATCTACATGTTCCCACAGAGCACTGTGATTAGCTCCATAAAGACGAGAGCAACAGCAACAAAAATGAACTACTGCATATGACACTGTGTGTGTGCCAACTGTCAAAATTGTTCTGCTGGTCTATAATGTGTGAGTGTAAATGCACAGTGTTGCAAGTGTATTTTAGCATTACCAAGTCATAAACTGTGTTCAGAGGCCAGGTGTAGGTTTCTTCTAAAGGCATTTTAGCCTCTGGGCACAGATCAATATATTATTCCAGATCTATTTATTATTCCACTTTCGTGCATTGTCAATCACTTCTGAAGATTGGTTTCTCTACTCAGAGTGGACGTATTATGCTAAAAAAAAAAAAAAAAAAGACTCAAATATTGTTTTTCTAATTGAAATCAATATGAAATATCTCAGAAATGGTACCCTCAGTGTGCAAATGCGGCTTTGGCTATAACAACGATTCTTAATAGGACGTGATCCAGATGTGTAAGTCCTGTCTAGGTAGGACTGAGGTTTTGTCTATGGCTTGGCTACTGCAGATTGTTTAAGTCAATCCTGTTTAGCTGTGGGTTTATGTTTGGGAGAGGTGTCTTGCTAGAGAATAAGCCTCCTTCTCCAGGGGATTTTCTGGCAGGATTTCTGTGCTGCATTAGTTTTACATTGTATTTTCACAAACCTTCCAGGTTGTGCTACGGGGAAGCATTGCCACATCATGATGTTGGCACCACCATGAATTGGGGAGGATGTCCAGTGTTAGGCCTGCTGAACATCTCATTTAGTGTGATGGTTTGTTTATTTAGAACATTTTCCACTTTGTTTCATAGTCTCCCACATGCCTTCTGGCAAACACTAGCTGAGATGTCACTCGCTGTCTCTCCCATCTCTCTTAAGCTGTGACTTGTGAAGCACCCGGCTAACTGTTGTTGTACACAGAACGTTTCCCATCTCAGCCCTGGAATCCTGAAACTTGTTAAATGGTGTACTAGTACTTGTCCTGCACAGTCTGTTTTGGAGGATAGCCTGCTCTAGAGAGATTTACAGCTGTGTACATAATCTGCTTTTTTTTAATGATTGACCTCGCTGTACTCAGGGATATTCAGTGTGTCGAAGCTGAGAAGACAGGTTATCAGGTGATCGTGTAGATTGAATCTATGTTCATGTACACATAAGCGCATACATCAGGCTCAGTTGCCGGAATATGTTATGAAGTCTTCCACATTTTATTGTAAAACACCAATTTTGTGGTCTTTTCTGGATCTTGGTGATTTGGCGAGGATGTTTATTAATTAATTTAATAGAGATGATCTCTCTCTAATGAATATTCACTTTGTCCCTAATTACAGTGAAGGAGTTTCTTGCCAAAGCCAAAGAGGATTTCCTGAAGAAATGGGAGAATCCAGCACAGGTAAGATAGGGAAAGAACTACTTCTCCTTTTCTGTTAAATCATCTTTGTTTTATAATTTTGTCATTGTTGTTGTTGTTATTATTGTGAGGTGTTTTTGTACTTTTGCTAATATTGCCTTTATTTTTACGTGTGATCATGCATCTTATGATAAATCTTAAATCAACTTGAATTCTGTTGTCACATGCTTGTTCACTCAGACAGACCCATGAAAATAGTCCCGCCCATGAACAAACTAAGTCCTGTTTATTTTAGAGGGACAGTGCACCCTCTGCTGGACTAATGTGAGATACATTTTTTTTGTTTTGTACAAAATGACAACATGTAACAACAAAATTCCCACTTGTTATTGACATGACAGTAATATTTGAGACCTGCAATATATAAAAGGTACACTGAGAGACCTTCTGGTACGAATTTATGCTATTTCAATAAACTTAATTGGAGTACATTTTATTTAGAGAGAATTTTAAACTAAAACAAGAACTTTTCATGCCATGTTGCTGATAAATTGTTCTATACCCTTTCTTCATACACCCTCTTCTACCCCTCAGCAAACTGCAGCATTGGACCACTTTGAGCGTTTGAAGACCTTAGGCACTGGTTCGTTTGGTCGAGTCATGCTGGTGAAACACAAAGAGTCGGGCCAGCATTTTGCCATGAAAATACTCGACAAACAGAAGGTACTGCACTTTTAGGCATGAAAAGAAATACTACATTAATGTGAGTGCTCGACTTGGGCCCTCCTGCTTGTATTTCTGACATGGTGATGATGATGTCTCTTTTGTAGAAATTGCATTAGTAAGTATACCGAGACATGAACAGTCAGGCACTTTTCTATTTAAATTTTAAATATAAATTATACAACCTAAAGTTGACTACAGTGGTGATTTATTTTTTTTTTTGAAAACTGTACATTTACATTTATTTAACCTTCTAATCTTACAAATTGTAAGTCATCACCAGTGTAATGTTACAGTTATCTCTAATCTATGACGTCTTCCTAGCTAGTAGAGAAATGGAGACAGGAGAAGTGATTGTGACAGGATCCATTTTTTTCTTTTTTTGTAGCACTATAAGTGCATCTTCGGATGGTGACTCAATCTTAAAATGGCATAAAGATCTCTTGGTTGTAAAAGTTAAAATGTCCTACAGTGCCATGAAGTTGCTCTCCCCTTTATTGTCACTAAAAGAGTTACGAGCTTTAAAACATGTTGATGTTCCAGATAATGTCTGATTTAGATGAGTGTGTTTAAATACTTTGGTTGTACTTAAACATAAGAATAACACATGACTATTGAATCAAATACTGATCTTGTTTTTTTTAACCTGTTTTGCCTGAATATGCATCCTGCCTGATCCTTCTAGGTAGTCAAGCTGAAGCAGATAGAACACACGCTGAACGAGAAACGTATCCTGCAAGCTGTGAGCTTTCCCTTTCTGGTGCGACTGGAGCACTCTTTTAAGGTATGCAGTAAAATGTTCATTTATTTGTCTTCTAAGCATGTTTGTCTAATTTTAATGTGTTTTTCGCATCAAATTAAGACTTTGCTCATCTCTCTACAGGACAACAGTAATCTGTATATGATAATGGAGTATGTACCCGGGGGCGAAATGTTCTCACACTTAAGGAGAATCGGTAGATTCAGGTAATTTGAATTTTAAGTTAAGTCAGTTTTATTTATTATAGCCTAATATTACAAATCGCAAATGTGCCTCAAGGGGATTTATAATCTGTACAGCAAACAACAATGTCTGTCCTCAGAAGTTTTAGTTAACTCCTCAATATTTCCATGTGCCCCTGGTTGACTGTAAATATTGTGCCTGATCTGTTGTGCAGTGAACCACACGCCCGCTTCTACGCAGCCCAGATTGTACTGACCTTTGAATACCTTCACTCGCTGGATCTCATCTACCGAGATCTTAAGCCGGAGAACCTGCTCATCGACCAGCAAGGTTACATACAGGCAAGGATTTCAGGTCAACAACAATTACGTCTGATTGCTCTATGTGCTCTCGCAGTGTCTGGTAAGTGCTCAGAGCTGTGCTCTTTGTCTGTTCCCCAGGTAACAGATTTTGGATTTGCGAAAAGGGTGAAGGGCCGAACCTGGACGCTTTGCGGGACCCCAGAGTATTTGGCACCAGAGATCATCCTCAGTAAGGTAAGGGAAGGGGACTTCTCAGCTCACTGTGGGACTTCATTTAGGAAAAACATTTCATTGTTGCCAGACATCAACTTTAGGTCTGTGGTACACTTTGCAGCTTAGTGTCTATTGTCAGTACTCAATATTGACACAACTGACTGCCCTTTTATTTCCTTTGTGTTTTCCAGGGTTACAATAAAGCAGTGGACTGGTGGGCTCTGGGAGTGCTGATATATGAGATGGCTGCTGGTTACCCCCCCTTCTTTGCAGACCAGCCTATTCAGATTTACGAGAAGATTGTATCAGGGAAGGTGAGTTTATTTTTCTAAGTAGTTTTATTGTCCCAACACAACACACACAATCACTATCAATGCGTGATGACGATAACTCAGTTTCAACAATTCACTACCACATCGGAGCAAACCGTATGAGCCCTGCACCCTAGAGCGTACCCTGCTTTCGCTGCGGAGCAGCTTAAGCTCCACCCGCACAAGCAGCTCCACTGTGCCGTTCCCTGACGTTTCTGATTCTCTAATATATTTATTACTTTTGAACGTGTCTCATGTCCAAGTTGCACCAAACCTGATACTACATTCCCCTGGGTTCGCAGCAACACACCCACCACATTTGAAGTCAATTGGATGAACGGTTCCTGACATAATCCAAATACAGACAGACACAGAGATTCCTTCCTTTATTAGAGAGGTGCTTTTTCTCCTCGGGTGTGAAAACAGTTTAATACTGATTATATTGTCTCATTACATCAATCTTAATTATATAAAGACGATTGTGGTGGTTTTGTGAAATATTTCCAGCTAAAAGGTAAAAAGTTAGAGGGGTAGTTGGAACTTTTGCTTTCTGTATTAAGTGGATTCTTCCTAAGAAACGGCAGTTTTTTTCGTTGTTGCAAATAACATTCTCAAATGCCTTTTAAACCTTTAAATGACGCCATCTATAGACTAGTAATGTGTCCAATTGACTGACCTTAATTTGCCTCTTACCCATGGCATCATTGCATCACCACTATAGAGGGAAAAACTAATGTACCGCTCTTCACTCATCCACTCCTCTGCCTCTTTGGTGAAATTGTACGTGCATTTTATTTCTCCTAATAAAACATAAATATGCATCACTTTTTCTTAATAAATCCTGTGCTTAACATTGTTTAGCTTTTCCTGACATTGTTATAAAAGTAGGAATACACAACTTTGTGCAATAAGGTTCTGTTTCAGATGAAGTTGTTAATTTTAATGTTGGTTCAAATGCTGGCATTTCATTCATAATGCATTAGTTTCAGGTGAAGTTTAATAAATTTGAATTAGAATCTTTTTATTGACAAATTACCTGTTTGTCTTGGGGGGTTAATGGCATAGAAATAACTGCTGACTTATAGCATGTGCCCTGGTCATCTCACAGCACATGTACAACAGCATATAGTCACAGATTGCCAGTTTATTAGGTACACACACCAATGTCATTCAAATAGTTCATTGTTGCAGGTCATTCATCATATGGCTACAGGGAGTGGTATATAGTGTTTTCCGTCATCGGTGTCTGAACCCTAACAAGTGCTCTCAGTGACTGTTAACATGGCATCATAGGAAATGTTAGGTTGGCATTTGCCTAATGAAGGTTTTAGTTCATGGTTGTAACTCAAAGGTGTGAGAAAACCAAAACCTTCCTGTGGTAAGTGATCCTGTGGACAAAAAATTAATTGTGCACCAGAGTGGTTGCAGGAAGTTGAATTGTGCAAAAAGGCAGATGTGGCACAGCCAGGCAAAGCACATCCAAATTCAACATTAGTGGGCGCAAAGTCATTTTAGACTGTACCTCTCATAGGCTTAATGTACAGCTGTAATTAAGAGTCTTGCCGTCTATTTTAAAACCATAGCATGAGGTATAACACATTGGGTTTGAGAACACACACTGACACTGCTTTTACTGTTTGCAGGTTCGCTTTCCCTCCCACTTCAGCTCGGACCTGAAGGACCTGTTGAGAAATTTGCTGCAGGTGGACCTGACCAAGCGCTTTGGCAACCTCAGGAATGGAGTCAATGATATCAAGGGCCACAAGTGGTTTGCCACCACTGATTGGATTGCCATCTACCAGAGGAAGGTGAGAGGCCCGCCTTCATATAATCTCAATGTGCGCAAATAGAGCCCACATCCCTATTAGAAATTGAAAGGGCAGAAGGAAAGAAACAAAAGAAAATTTCTGTAATGGGACTTTGGTCAGTGGAAGTGTCTTTAGTCTATATCTGCAGTTACGGGTAATTTCACACCATCTGCACTTCCTCTACACATACATTGGAGGCTAATGGAAAAAGGTCGAAAACACATAAAACATGTGTTTTCCCTCCAGTTGTTTGTTAACAAAGCTGGTGGGTTAAGTAGGATTACAGCAGTTGTACAACATTTATTTAAATAAATACATAAATGAATAAATAAGGGGTGGGAATCTCTAGGCACCTCACGATTTGATTACAATTCAGAGGGCTACGATGTGATTATAAAACGACTATCAATGCATCTTTTTTCTATACAGGATTTCTGGTTAATAACCAAGCATTTCAGTTGCACATTAAAATCCAAATGAAACTTCTCATTAGCTTAAAAGAACTAGTTTGCGTCCTTAATTTGCTTTAAGCTCCTTCGTGGTCACCATCCTTTCCTCTACTCCGCTAAGTTTCACCGTCGCTCTCTGCTGCTCGCTCTCTCGCTTTTGCCCACCCACACACTCGCTACATACACATTACACGTTGTTCCTTAAAAGATCAAACTTACGCTGTTCTTATAACAGCATCTGTCACTCACATGTCCTTTTTGAAGAATGGGGAGAGGAAGCTAGCCAAGGGTTGGGTGTTACCGTGCTCGCACATTGATATTAATGATCGTGTGTAATTTAATCATTCATTTATTATTCATTTTAAGTTACTATGTACAACTATAAGTGCATATCAATCTGTTTTTAATTGTCTCTTTATCTCCTTGGGCCTATTCCAATGTCATCTGGTAGTTTATGGTCCTTGCTATAGGTTTGGTGCTCTTTTATAATACTACACTACTACACAGCATCTTTTTGATGATTTGAGGTGTCCTGTGTTTTCCAGGTGGAAGCACCCTTCATTCCTAAGTGCAAAGGCCCTGGTGACACAAGCAACTTTGATGACTACGAGGAAGAAGAAATCAGAGTCTCCTTCACAGAGAAGTGTGGAAAGGAGTTTGCTGAGTTCTAGATTCCAACCACGAGTAGCGGACAGAGAGACAGGGATTTAGAAAAGTAAAAGGGGGTCAGAAGGAAGGAAGCGCTAGGGTGGACTGCTAACTTGCTTATTTGTAATGACGACAACAATGTAACCCCCCCCCCCTCCCCCCCTCCCCAATGGAAAGGTAGGCAGAGTGGAGAAAGATCCAACAGAACCAGCAGTGTTGCCTTTTCTGATTGTTTGTCAATGTTACCTATTCATTTTATTTATCCCTCTTGTGTTTGTGGCAGGGGCTCGAGGAGATCAGGCATAGGTTGTGGCTGTCCAGCTGTACTTGTATCTTTCTGATGGTGTAATGACATGTTTTCAGTCTTTGCAGGTTGAGGCATTGTTTTTTTTTTTTTTTGTAAAGGTACTGAATCTGCTAGGCTCCTTTTTGAACGGGTCCTCTAAAAGCTTCTCAAAGAGGGATTGTTGTATCTTGTTACCCTGGTCCACCCCCCCCCATATCTCTCTATCCAGAAACTGTCCAAGCAATACCAAGTCCAACAGATGTGCCTATCATAATGCCAACTGGTTGGAAAAGTGTGTCGAAAGCATTGGTGCAGAGCTTTGGCCATGGTGGCATCAGCCCTTGTGCCCGTTTGGTTTAAAGCTTGAAAACTCTCTGCACCTGCCTTTGTCTGCTCAATGTGGCATGGTTATTGGGTAGATGATGCACTCGCTGCTTGCAGCTGAAGCAGTGGTGACCTCTTTGATCAGAGTGAAAAGGATTTATCAAAGTAAACTTCATCTAGGTCTTACTCCCTGAGAAATGGTAAACATGAGCTCTGCATTTAAGTCTGTCTTTCTCTTAGCTGAATTTATTAGAGCATTTTAAGAATCCTATTGGTGATCATTTTGTCCTTTTTATGTCAATATCTGTGCTTGTGTGTTAGTTAGTGCTCAAGGGTGGGTTTAAAAAGCTGTGATTTAGCAGCAACTAACATTGTGGTCACACTCCTGACTGTTGTTTATTTAATTCATAGTGTGTACACACGAACACACACCATTTTTTCCACTTTGTCTCATAGACGTGAAACTGAATTATGATTTCAGAAATAAACAAATATAAATTCTGCCAAATTGCAAAACTGATAACATTGTAAAGTTTTCTGTATTTAACTCTGATGGTGGTGGATTTTAATACGCAAAAAAAGTAGCAAAATGTGCATGTTATTTTTGTACAATATCAGTTTTAAGGAAAGATTGCAGAGCGTTATTCTTTATTTGTGGTGAGATTGTGGATAACATGCTTAACTATTAAATTGGACTCTTGGCTGCTCTATTTTGAAGATGGAACAAGACCCAGTTACACGTGTCAGAAAGTTCTTCTGGGCTTTGTTCATTATTCAGTTGTAGGGCAACAGTTTGCTGATTGTCACTGAACTTGTGCTTTTCACCTTGGTAATTGTGCCCCCCCCCCCCCCACCCCCAACCAAAGTCCAACCAAATTTATGGGACTGTTGAGATTGGAGTGTTTTTGTTTCCGTTTTCCAGCTTTCTATGTAACAAATTAAACTAAGGAAGCTATCCTAAAGCTGTCCCCTTTTTCCAAGTTTATTTCTGTGGATGCAAGACAATCGCAGACCAAGTCTGCTGGTTTGTTGACTGAACACATTGTTTTGGTTTGGTGAAGGATATTCATTTTCACCACCCTGCCCTTCATAGGCCCTAGGTGCTAGACTTTGCCCATCTCACTGAAACGCTTCTGTGAATTGTTTGATGTGCATCAATCTCTTTGTCATAAAGTCTTGTAACATGACATTGTTGAGAATGTTTTCTGACTCTTAAATGATTTCACTAGGCTTGAGTAATTATTTTGGCAGTCTCTTTATGTAATTGAGATCAAACGCAGGATACCTTTTTGAATGTCTTGGATTGTCTGATGGAAATGTTTCAATGCTGTTTGGAAACATGATGTGTGTTTTGTATAATACATGTTTCTCTGGTGAGCTTGGTTTTTCTTGCATGTGGTAAAGCAACCCAAAGGCAAGACATCTCCTGGACCTGAGACATGTTTGAGAAATCTTTGTTTCCGCAGCCGACAGTCTCATCGCTGTTTTAACCTTTTTTGATTTGTTAGCATCACATTGAACAATGCAGTGGATCACCAACCAACTTGCCCGGCCTTTTGCAAATAGTGAAGCACATGCCGCCCCCTTTGAAATCTCCTATTTGATTGATTTGTGCTAATTATTTGAAACTTTTAAAACACGATGTAATGCTTTGAAGAGAGCATGTGACACATTTGGTCTTTATGTTCTGACAAATGACTAAATGAGAGGTGGTGGGTAGAAGGCAAAGGCACTTGATCTATTTCAGACACTGAAGCCATCACAATGCTTTTTAAAAAATGTATTTTTGTTTCCCATATAAAACTGTCTTTAATTCTCTTCTATCAGTTAAACAGTATCAACTGCTCTGTGCTAATTTTGAGTTTTTCTCCTGTGTTTGCCTTCTATTTTCATCAAGTTTCCACGCACTCTTCATTCAAACATAACACTTTTTACATCTGAGATGTTTTGCGTTCATATTTTCTAATTGTATTTTCAAAAAAAGCAAAAAAGCAAAAACAGAACATTAATCTTTTCCTCATGACCTGGGTACAGTGATTGTGTAGTCTATTGTACCTTTTGGGAAACAATACTGTATATCCTTGCCTTTGACAGTCTTAACTATCTTACCCTCTGGAGAACTTGACAGATACCCTTAGAACACAATGAGTATGTTAAAAAAATATACATAAAGTAATATTTTGCAAAATGTATCATTCCAATAAACTTTTACTTGTTAAGACTAATATGTCTGGGTTATATGTAAGCTCTCTCTTCGTCCTGCACAGTGTCACACTTAGCTTAGGTATGTCACATTGAAACATTTTTTTAATACAATGGGGGTTATTTTATTTTTTTTATGACCTGCAAATCTCAAGGGAGGTATTCGCATCTTCACGCTACTCTCATGGCTGGATCAGAGGAACGTACTTGTTGGTAGGTGAGAGCAGATGCTGCATTTTCACTATCCTGTCTGTTACTGTGAAGTTTTTAAGAGGCTGGCAGGTGCAATTGAATAATGCAGTGTTGTGTTCATCCTGTCACAGTACGAGATCAATTACCAGCCAGCTTTCAACAACCCTCTCCAAATGGATTCCCATCCTCAGTGCACTCCTTTTTAGGATTGTATCCGTCTGCAGAACTTGCATGTGAAGGGCCTAGAGGGCCATCCAGATGGTTGGAAGGTAATTAAAGATAAAGTAAAAGACCTCAATGAATAAAGCCATCTTAAAAAAAAAAAAACAAAACACAAAATAAATTATCCAGTTGATAACTGGACAATAATGACACATTACATACATTACATTACATATTTACAAATGCTACAGAGCTAATTAACCCATAGCATCAGAAAACAATGGTTTTCCTACAGAATAACTGTTTAGTGTTAGACCATGTATTAAAAGTAGGCTACATTTATTTGGAAGACAGCAGGTTCCAATTCTGTGTTTTGTATTTTGGTAGGATTACTTTTTTGTTAACTGGAAAAGGATGATTGTGAATTGGTGGTGGGATCTTTTTTTTTTTTAATGGATTCAATAAAGCGGTAGGCTATGCTATTTTTTATTCTATGTAGACTGTTGATTTAATTATGAATCTACTTACTGAAGTAGACAATCTACAATATTGTCTCATTTCTTTCATAGTTTGATCTTAAAGGGCACCTCAGGGAGCCCACATTTCCCAGATATGCTTGTTTGAGCTTATGAAGCTAAGTGAAAGTGAACGGACCACATGTGATGTGTCATTTACTTCATCAAAGGCTGAACCTTAATAGTTGTTGGTATCACACTTTCTAGCTCTTGAAATAGAAGGCCACCTTTTTCACCCATCGTACATGGGCACGAGTGCGCGCGCACGTTCCCGTCCAGGACTGCAAATTCCACCTTAAAACCCCTCTCGAGTGAAACTTTTCGCTGCAACTCTGTCGGTCCACCTTAAGCGCACACGCAAACGCAGGAGGCGTACATCGAGGTTTCCGCTTCTCAGTTGGGCTCGGACCGCGGCTCACGAAAAACACCGTGTGTGTAACGTACAAGGTTGACGCACTAAGGTGAGAAAAAAAGGCAAAAGAAAGCGAAGCAACCGAGCAAAAAAAAGATGTCTGAATCCAAGTACCGCGAGTGGATCCTGGACACTATCGACTCGCTGCGGTCGCGAAAAGCCCGGCCGGACTTGGAGAGGATTTGTCGAATGGTCCGGAGGCGACACGGGTCCGAGCCCGACCGAACCTGCGCAGAACTGGACAAACTGATTCAGGAACAAACCGTGCTGAAAGTTAACTACAAGGGCTCTATTTCATACCGAAACGCCGCAAAGGTTCAGCGGAGAAGCAGAAAAAAAGACGATGTAACGTTAACGACGGCTGCGAGAAGGAGCGCGGTGGAAGAAGCCAGTCATTCTGACTTGAGCAACGGGGACAGCGCTTTCGGTCCTGTTGACCAGGACGAGGAGGATTTGGAGGTATGTTGGGGGTGATGCGAGGAGGCACGTTTAACGAGCTCACATCTCATTGTCATATCACATCTTACCAAATTAACAGGTGGAGATAAAAGCAAAGGCACGGGGATAGTGTGTGGTTTGCGCAAAAACACGTATTTTGGTGTGTACATGGGGAGTGGTGAGGGGAGTGATTTTGCAAGTGCACCCAAAACTGCCGCAGACGGGGAGCGGCGGTTGGACCTCGCTCGAGCGCTACAGAGGTGGAGACGAGAAAAAAAAAACAGCCGAAGGTGCGCGTGTTGTCAGAGTATGGCAAATTTTACACGGCGCCGGTTTAAAAGCACTTTAACCGGGCGGTGTAGACGCACAAACAAAAGACAGGAAAAGTTGCACCGTCCTGTCCGTCCGCCACAACCCGAGCCACCATTATCAGCAGCAGAAAGCGCTTTTCAAGCCCCAAACTCGGCGTTGAGCGAAGGGGAGGGGGGGCTCTGCCAAGCTAGCAAGAGTGCGTAGACGTAGCCAGGAAGTTGAACAAATTTGCTTTCAAAATAATAGCGTTAAAATACGCGCTCGACAGTGAGGTTTTTATTTTGAAAAGCCGGGGCTGGAAATTCACGCTTTCATTATCACTGACTTTTAAATGTGGGAGTGGGTGAAGGGGAAAAAAAGTCTGAAACACCGCGGATGTAGGAGCCTGATGGGAGACGTTGGGACATTGTTGGGTTGTTGATTGTTTCTTTCTTAGAAAAACGAGGACAACCGTCTCAGGCAAAAAAACAAATGTCGCTAGAGCCACGTCCAGACCGCATGTTTTGTCTGCCCATGACGAGATTTCTCCCTTTCCGTCTGCACTTTAAGCTATGCCCATCACTATGTTTTGTCCCGTATAACAGCAGCCTAATCGAAAATTATCGGTGCCAAAGTACTCATAATAAAGATATATTCAGTTAATGTATGCAAACTGCGCCTATTTTTCGTGTGATGGACGATTGCCGACGCAGTGCATAAAGTCGAACCCCTAGATCCATTGTCGGACACGCTGCCAAGCCCGGTGTCGGCTGCTGTTATGGCCTCTCTCGTCCTGTACAGCAATGGCATCACTTATCTGTGTCTGGTAACTATTTGTTGACAGTATTATAGACGAGCCACATCTCTGCACTTTAAGGACATATGTAGGAGCCGGTAACACTGTGAGACCTGAACTAACGTAAAGCGACAGCAAACTGTTCGTCCGCCGCTAGCTGGCGGACGCCTATCCGATTTGGGTTAAGCTGAGATCAAATTGACTCTGAAAGGCGTGTGTGTTGCTACAAAAACGAATACGTTTGGTGACTTTGAACGTAACGCTTCCCGGTGCTTGTTTTCCAGGTTTTACCTGAATACGGGTGTCAAATGGAGACAGTGACGTGTCCGGTAACGGAGTCATTTGCGTTACTCTTTCTGTTCGCTCGCTTCTACTGTACATCGTTGACCCGGTGCAAAGTCAAAGTAGGCTGGTGATCGAGGCGGCTGGTGCTCGCTCTGATCGGGCTGCTGCGTTGATCTGTCCGTCGAGTTAAAGCTCGTTTTTCTTTTATCTCTGGTCTGCTTTGCCGTGTCTCGGCCCCGGGACGCGCTCCGTTAAATACCTCAGACACAATGGCGAGGTCTTTACCGCGGCTCCCAACTCCATGCGCACTTTGAAGGAAATTTGAGGAATAACCAAAAACGCCTCCCACCGGCCCTTTCTATGCTCCCGTGTGTTGGAGTTATCAATCAATAAGGCCTCTAAAGACCGGCACGCACCGAGCACATCGGCTGTTTTATGTGAGCCGAGATGAAAATCATGCTGGATTGAGACCCTCGGGGATGTTTTTGTGACCGTGTCTCGGTGAAAGTTATGTGAAATGCAGTGCGATGGGTGAATACCATACAAGCGGCTCTCTTCACAGGAGCGGGGCGGGCTTTAGTGCGCTCTTGTGCTCGACTGCTGGGTCTTGGACACGCAGTCGCACACGATCAAATGTTTTACTCAAGGCGCCGTCGACAAAAACCAATGAGTGCGTATGTTAAAACTATTTATGCAATCAGATAACACTGGATTCAAGTGTTTAACAGCGCGGAAACACGTTTGTGGTGGAAGGGCTCACAGTCTGTCTGCGGAGTGAGCACTGCGCCGCGGAATGGGACGAAGGCATCCAAAGGCAATAATTTACCACCACAGCGGTCAAATTGCGACATCTCTATGAGCGTGTTTTCATGTGACATGCTCAGCATACAATTAGTCGGCTACTCAATCATGAAAGCAATCCCTTGTAATCTTGCAGGGTTTACCAGCTTTTTAAATTGTTGTCAAAATAATGAACTTAATTGTTGATAGTGGCCTTTCTTCCACTGAATTAAATGTTTCTTATCCACTCAAGCTTTTTGTCCCCATTGATCTAGGCAAAGATGAGTGCATACTTGATGTATGTTTAATCTTACACCCACCATAGATTTTAAATGTACAGCATGCACTATGTGATGCTTGTGTTTTGCAGGCTGACACCTCTATGGCAATGGACACGGACAGTAATCCAGATGAAGAGGGGGCTGATGAGAGCAGGGATGGGCAGGACAGGCCGTCTCCTGGGCGCACATATGAAGATGGGGCCGCGCACTGTGCCTCTGTGCGAGCTGTCTCTGCACCCTGCTCTCCCTCTGGCACTCGGCCTGGCCCCGGCTGTGGCCCTGGCTCGGGTCTGGACTGTGTCTCTTTCCAGAAGGCTGGTGAGAGGCCCAGCTCCTTGCCCCCCTCCAGCCCTAGGGCCCTCGCACACAATGACTGGGCCTATCATTCTGCTGTCTGCCCAGCAGAGCGCCAGCACCCAGGAATGCAGAGAGACAAAGGTATTCACGCTGCTAGACACAGTCTAATATGCACAGCCGGCATTATGGGGCACTCGAATATTGTTTCATGTGCAAGCTTTATTCTTGGTTTTGCATTGGAAGTTAAATAGGAATTGGAGCTGGATAGGTGACATGGTTGCTGACAGCAGAAATGCCTTAGTTAAAGTGGTGGTATTATGCTCATTTTCAAGTTCAAAATCCTATTTAGAGGTTGTACCAGAACAGGTTTACATGGTTTAATTTCTGTGTTGAAGGCTTCGTTTTAGCTATGGAGTGATACATCTTGTCTCTAAATGATCTTTGGTGGGAGTTGCACATGCCAGTTCCTAGTTAAGGACTACTAGCCAACCAGAAGCAAGAGAAGGGTGGGTCAGTGAGAAGCCGGTAAACAGCTTTGCAACATCACAGTAACAACTTTATGTCCATTGACTGGAGGGTAGCTAGTGTTTGGAAGGGAGAGTAGGTGTGTGCTGCAGCTCAGTGTTTCTCCACTGGTGTTTTTGAGGGCGTGTCGGAGTAGCAGCGTGGCCAGCATTATGTGAGGCGCATTTAGCGTTCATCCCTGTGATGTCACAGGGATGAAAGGGAAAGGGGTGGACTACAAACTGTTTTCAAGCAGTTCAGAGCAGAGTTTTCTCTGGGAGATAGGAACTCCCTTTGGGCTGGACTTTGGGCTTTTTCACTTTGCAAACCTATTACATGCACAAAAAAGGTATATAACTCAATAAAGGAGAGGGAAAAAGCCAAAAAGCATAATACCACCTCTTTAATGTAAGCTAGACACAGTTACAGACACAGGTTTAGCGAGGTCTTCCTGTCATCCATCCATCTTGTTTGTACCAGTTATTAACTAAATAACTTTCAGCTGCATTGGTTTCAATTTGGTTTGAGTATAATGTCAGGTGTGACAGTATGGATCAAATCAGCATGTAATGTAAATGGTTCACTCTGTGTTAGCAGCAGCCACAAAGTCAGCAATCCACTCTGCAACTACCAGCCCCGGTGCTTTAAAGAATAACGTGAAGAAAGAAGATGGAGCCAAGGCGCAGGATAATGGCCTTTCGTTTGACCAGTTGGTACCAGACTATGCAGCAGGGCTGGTAATTGGCATGTAATCATTTCATGTCAAACACCACCATCTATATGTCTCATACTACTTTGATGTCTCTGACTCACACCTGACATTTTCATGTTTCAGTTGTTTTGTGCTGTTTTGTTTGGCCAACAGGATGAGACCAAGAATGTATCTGATGGAAGACCACAGACACTGTCTTTGCCATCTGACAACTGTGAGTAACACAGTGTTTCATAATTTTTGTATTTAAAGCTGCTGCGTAGCCTGCACCTGTTTTGCAGAAAATTAATGCATCACTAGACTACTCTCTCATTTTGGATAATAGTTACTAAAAAGACACATACATGTTAACAAGGTCTTGTTCATATTTTATGATATGCATGTCTTTGCAAGCAAGACAACATTGTTTTCTGTTTTTGATTTTCTTGATGAAAATTTAGTTGGGGTAATGTTCCCTTCCACCACTTCAGAGTCACAGGGTTTATTTCCTGGTTGAGGTTTCTCTAGCTTGACCATAATTTGTTTTTTTTGTGAGTTTGTTTCTTTGTTGAAACTTTTTAATGCAAGAGAAGTGATTGTAGATTTTCCCTCCTTCGTGAGACATTGCCAAAAGACCTCCAAGCAAATAACTAATGTGGCATTACAAAAATAAATTATACTAAAATGTTTTTACCACAACTACCATGCCACTGTATACTGTAGTCGTGCTGGGCCTGGATATAGTTTGGATAAAAGGGGCAGTGCCCATCTTTAAAGGGGGGCTTTGTCCCTGTCATGTGTCACATGCATGAAGACATTCCTGCCAGCATCCTGTGAAAGTGGCCTGGTACTGTATAATAAGGGTGCTGTATCAACACTCGTTTACTGTGCCCTCACTGTACTGAACCATGAACAAACTCTAATGGAAAAACATACTGTACCGTGACAGCAGAGAGCTCAGTGTGGCATACAACTACCATGGAAAAAGCATCACTTTCATTTCATCACAGCTCTGGTGCTTTGTTCAGCTTCATACAACTGAATGTCAAGGATATGAAGCTGCACATTTAGACCTCCAGAAAATGTATTGTTAACTACACTTTTATTGATATTTAATTTTGCACATCAATGCAGAATTGGAAAAAGTTTGAGCCATGGTTCTCATATGAACTCTTCTCTTTGCTCCCATAGTCATGAGTCATGAACTGAGCTCCACTTTAATTGCCCATTTCATGCATAATACCACAGTTGGAATATCTCAGTTCAGTTTTCAGTCATAAATTATTTGAGGCCAAAAAGTAGACATTCTGTTAGCCGTTCGTTGCATATTTCATGTTGATATGGCAAGAAATAAGAGGCATGATGGCTTTTGATGTGAAATTAACAAGCGCAGATTATTTTGATTCCAAGAAAATGTTGATGTTTTTGGCAGTGTTGTGTTCTTGCTTTTTAGGACAAGGAAGAATACTGAGGTGTTTCTCTTACATTTAGTCAAACAGTTGCTTTAATAGAAACCAGTGAAATCAACTCTGCAATGTGTTTTAATGATCGGTGAAGAAATTGTTGCAGACAACATCCAGTCAAGATTTCTCTCAGAGCATGTCATGATATCTATTAAATCAATGTTTCATTGTAGAAAGATTTGTAGAACATTTGTAATAATTTTATTTCCATTGTTCACAGGTACATTGAAGAATAAGATAGATATATCCTCCTTCACTGCAGCTGAAGATAGTCTTCTGAATGGTGGTAAAGATGATGAAATGTGAGTATCCTGTTATTAAATCGTCATTATATTCTCCACTAGAAATGCATTTTCAGATTCCTAAGATGATGCCCCTCTCACAATGTTTGAATACACTGCTCTTGACTTGTATGTAATCCACATGTTTCTGAGGCACAAACTCATGTTTTAAATAACAACTAACCGCACAAACGGTCACTTAGAGGCTTGAAAAGACAACAACAAAGTGAGACATTACCTGCTGAAGAAGAGGGGGTCTATGTCTCTGACTCTTTTTCACCTGATCTTCCTCCAGCTCTGTGAAGAAGGAGAAGATGAGCCAGAACTTGTTGCAGTGGACTGTGGCGGACGTGGCCAGCTACTTCTCAGCTGCAGGCTTTCCAGAGCAGGCTGCGGCGTTTCGTACACAGGTCAGTGCACCACCACAAAACTGCCACAGAGGGCGCTACATGTACACTGAAAACCACACAGTGCATTTGAAGAGAGTTAATATAAAGTGTGTTGCACGGTCCAAAATAGTGCATAGTGTGACCAGTATCAATTAATTTGTGTACATGAAGCTGCGTGGTTAAAAGCTTCCAGAAAAGAAAACTGGCTGTCTTGAGGTGACTAGGAAAAATCCCAAACTTCTCTCTTGAAATACAAAGTTACTACACAGTGTGATCTGGTGGCCATTTAGAAATTACATAACATTAGTTACATTAAAAGATATAAGGCATTCAGAACATCCCTTCAGAGATTTATGAGTGACACTAACTGAGCAAAATATCTTCTCTCTCCTCAACAGGAAATTGATGGGAAGTCCCTTCTCCTTATGCAGCGCAGTGACGTGTTGACTGGTTTGTCTATTCGACTGGGCCCGGCCCTCAAAATCTACGAGCGCCACGTAAAGGTGCTGCAGAGGACCCACTTCCTGGAATACGAAGACCTCTGAAGTGGCGATTCACATGACAGACAGACAATGCTGCATTGACCCAAACATGCATGCAGTGCCCTCTCCCTCCTGGATTCTGCCACCCACCTTCATATACAGAATATGTTAAGGGTGAGTGGGGGTGGGGGGAGGCTGCGGTGGAATTCTTTCACTGTGAGAATGACCAGAAACTGAAAGACAGTCATCCTACCTCTCATTATGGTCGTTGGTTTTCAAATGGTTTTCATTTCACCCATGTGGCCCTTCGCTTGCATTGTCAAGGGAACAGACTGCTACGTTCAGAGTACATTTTAAAGTGTGGGAGTAATGACCTTTCTGCAAGAGTAAAAGATAGGTAATGCAGCCATTGAAGGGGATGGAGCGATGCACGAAGTGGACCACCTATGTGTCATAGTGCTGTGAGCAAAGTGTTTTGGGTCCACAAGAAAATGTTAGCTCACTGTGGCTGTAAAATGTCTCCCTGCATCCTTGCTGTATCTATTACAGTACCTTCTGTTAGTCCAGAAACCATTAGTGAGACACGTGGCTAAACACAGTATGATGAGTTGAATTAAATGTCATGGAAGTGCTGGGGAAGTCTACATATCTGCATCAAATGTCACCAGAGTCTGATTCCTGACTTGTCATGCCACCAATAGCTGCTGCTGATGGATTATGGCTTCAGTGTCTCTGTAACCAATAATGACAGCCTACTACCTGCTTGCAAGGCAAATATTGTTTTTTTTAAATTTAGATCTGACTGTGGTCCAACTTAATACAGTTGCATTTTGGGGAACAATTGCAGATAGATGTGACCAGGAAATTTGCAGCCTAATGGAATTAGATTTCATACATAAGGATAAAGTAATAAATGTGGAGAAATGTTATTGTAATACTAAATATATTATATTGTTTTAAATCTAATACAGCTGCTCAGTGCCTGTTTACAGAGCAGATCTCTTGATCAAATGCAATATTTTGTGTTATCATCCGTTTATAATGTGTCCAGTGTCTAAGTCAGCCTCTTGAATTGTGACATTCCATATGATGTAGTCTACGTCTCAAATGTATATCCTCCCCCCCTTTTATCTGTAACATTAACTCTTATTCCAGAGTCCCAAATAAAGATTGTGTTTCTTTGTTCAGCCACTTCTTTTGTGATAGTTCATTACACTGGTTTTATCAATCATTTGCCTGAAAACAATTGTTTGAATGGGTCAGCATCCCCCTGCAAGGGTGTGAGGACAAGTCAAATATCAAATATTGTAAACAAACTTTCCACTTCAGATAAAATCCCTGCTCAACACTGTAACAAAAATTACAGCAGGACATTTAAAAAATAAAATCAGTTCCTCGTTTAATCTGAAGGTTCAGTGGATGCAGCGATGCACATTTGGTGAAAATGGAATATTCCTTGTCCACCATGAGTTTCAGTCCGTGTATCTGCACGACTCTTCAGATTAGTACAAAAGAATAGCGTGGGAAAATATCTGCACAACGCTGACAATGCACAGAAAGTTTATAGTAGATACATAATACACTGACGAGGTTTGATGACTGAAACTTGGTCTTTTTGCTTTCGCTTCAATTGAACACTTTGCACTATATCATCATCATGTGTAAGCAAGAAGTACATTTTTTTTAGGATGTGTCTGTGCATGCTGTTAGCAGTGTTTTTCTATCGATTATTTTTCCTACACCAGAAATACACTAGACCCATGTACAGACAAAACGAAAAGATTTTCCCTCACCCATGGCGGGAAAACAGCATACAATTTCTAATCCAGATAGCACTAACTCTACCATAGTGTAAAGGTCATTTGGATCAGTCTGATTAGTAGAATACTGCATGAGGCCACACACTTGTCAGCTCCAGGCTGCACACTAGTTTGACAATGCAGATTAGCCTCTTGGTTTCCCAGCTCTGTGGGAAACTTCACTTGCCAAAGCTATGAACATAATGTGATTTGTTAAAAATCAAACAGCACTCTCAATCAAACATGTAACAACTTACCAAAGTCGCAAAACAATGTTTCATCCTCTTGCTTCTTCAAGATCACATACAACATTAAATTAAGACTTTGCTGCATTTAACTCTGAAGGCGTATTTTGTTGTTGCCTAAAATAGTCCTGTATTCACCAGTCCAACACTAACTGTAACCGCCACTCCTCATTATGGAGTGACATGTAAGAAAATGTCACACGGAGTCCATATGACCAAAATCCATCTGGAATATTAACCTCAGCATACACTTTCTGACATCCAGTGGATGGAGAAGCTGCTTCAGGAGGATCTCCATCAGTAATGAGGTGGATCTGTGTCGCAACTGCTGTTTCCTCTGCCAAGCTTCTACAGGATGAAGGGGAGTATGGAGGAGCGCAGGGTCGGATAATCTCTGAACTCCTTTAAGTAGCCGCGGTGTTTTCCTTTAGCCCAGACAGTCATCTGGATGAAGGCCACAAGAGTGAAGAAAGCCACAGGAACACACTGGGTCATCACTGTGAAGCCCATCCAGGAGCCCAGCTGTGAGCAAGACGATTGCGCACACACACACACACACGCACACACGCACACACGCACACTGTAAGTAAAACTTTAGTTATATAGCACATTTTTAACATAGGTTACAAAGTGATTTACATCAACATCAAGCACAAACACTGAAGTGCAAACCACAGAAAAACATTCAATAAACGCAACACACATACAACCACAGAAAGCATGCAGCAACCAGGCACCAACCAGAGTACACCCTTGGAATTAGAGAAAAGCCAACTTGTGGGTTTTCAAATGTTGGTTTGAAACAGTCAACAGACTCAGCTTTGCGGTGTGGCCAACAGGTTTTGCTCTGATGACCTAATTGGCCACTCGGTGGTGTAAAGGCTTAGTAGCTCAGAAATGTATGCAAGAGCTAAGTCATTTAGTGTCTTATAAGTGATTAGATGAATCTTTAAATCAATCGTGAACTTCACTGGCAGCCAACGCAGCAAGACTAAAATAGGAGTGATGTGTGATCTTCCACAAGTCCTAGTTAATAGTCTGGCTGCTGCAATTTGTACAAGCTGAAGACATGCCAGGGCAGTTTGACTAAGGCAAGTGAAAAGGCCACCGCAGAAGTCGAGATGGGAAAAACTGAAGGCATAAATGATAGCCTACGTTCTAAATCCTATAATAATGGCCTAAATTTTTGTAATGTTGAAAAAAACAGGATTGTATCAATTTGCTGACATGGTGTTTGAATTAAATTGAATTTGAAATATGATGCCAAAATTCCCAGAGTTTGGTTTGACATACAGGGGCATAAGTGGGCATTGAGATTTATGGTACACAACCAGTAGATGGCAGCAATAGTGCATCTTATTGCAAGGATGAAATACAGGCTATGTGTACTATTGCTACAGGGTTGCGCGCGCACACACACACACACACACACACACACACACACACACACCCCCTTGCCTTCAGTGTTGAAATGTGGAGCCCATATGAACATTGAAATTGAGGTTTAGCAAGTCTCCTTTTCATACTGGCCAGTGAAAGATCCTAATACAATTCCAAAATAAGTGATTCACCTCGCTCTGTGCAAAAATTTATTCCAAAGGCTATTGGGAGGCTTCAGCAGTCTGAGTTAGACAAATCAAAAGGATATCTTCCAAAGTTATAGTCTTTTCATATTTTTTGTGTGTTTTTCAGACAGTGTTTCCTTGTTGGGATAGTAACAAAAAGAGATCATTTTATACTAAAAACACTCCTGAAGCCTCACATTAACTTCATATACATTTCAGAATACCTATTTGTATAGAATGAGGAGGATTTTCTCCCACATCACTTACAATGGAAGCACATTAATAATGAATCTCATAATGGCCAGTATTAACAAGAGGAATGATTATTATGATAATGAAAAGCCTGTTTCAGCGTTTGAGCACCTGTAAACTAATACACAGACCATCAGTATAGCTGACTGTGAAGCTATGTCACCTTTATTTTCTTTCATAGGAACACCTATCTGCTTACCTCATATGTGTAGTTTGGACAAGAGACCAGCCAAAAAATCCATGTGAAGGGATTTCTCGTAGGGTAAGGAATCTTCTTGTTTTTTGAACCTGAGATGATGGTTAAACAAAAATAAAATATTGTATTGCCATGTACTCTTGGCTGCTTTTTAAATAAAATAGAATACCACTGATGTAAAAATGTTGGAAAAAACTCACCTGCTAGTTTGAGGTTACGAAGAGCAATATGGATGGAAAAATTCCCTATTTGACAGAACTGTGGGAATTTAGACAACCAAAGATGATCATCTTGGGATAGGGTTTAATATCTGAAAGATGCCTTTACTGAGCCACAAATATACAACTTAGACAGATCTCAAACTTACCAAGAAAATGTAAAGTCCTGTATTCACCTGCTGCTGCCCGTAATCTGTCAATGTGTCACAGAAAAATTTATTAAAATGCTAGTCAACTTCCACTGATGAGTTAAAGTGAGAATTGCAGTGGTCTGCACTTACAGGGTGTGGTGTAGAGAGGGTGGTTGATGTAGTACGCCATCCAAGCTGCAGAGCACCAGTAATAGCCACAGTTCTGGAATAGAAAGAGGGACTATAATAAATCAAACTGTCAAGATAGCGCCTCACATACAGAATAAGAACACAGCACAATAATTATACACTGTATATCACATTCAAAGGGCAATGCAGCTCACTCACCTTAAATATGTTTCTGAGAGGCATGGTCCCGTGGGAGATACGATGGACAAACAGTGTCTCCAGAATCCTCTTGATGTAGTGGAAGGAGTGGCATATGCAGGCCAAGCTGCAACAGGACACACACACACACACACACACGTTTAGGGGGTATCTGTGGAAAGCCTTGGATTGTGTGATACACAGCAGCAACATCCCCAAAGATCCCTGAAAACATAAGCTGACACTCACTGTACAACCCAGTGCTTGCTGGTGGTGAAGTCATATTTCGGAGAATATATGAAAGGAAGGCGGAAGTAGAACATCAAGTAGATGATCAGTGGGCCAGCGCACTCTGTCAGGAACACCTGAATTGAGCAAAGAAAAGAAAAGACAAAATTTAAATGCTTTAAATTGAGTTTTTCTTGATTTGCAGCCAGATGCATGAGAAGTGCAAAAAAAAATGTACAAAAACGCCAAAAAGCCCCACACAGCAGTCATTAATGAATCCATGAACAGCATTACAATTATCAGTGGATTTCTCTAATAGAAAACAGCCTAACCAGTGAAACAAAAATAGTTTCTCCCTGTCCCGTCAGCAGGGAGAACATGCAACTGACACCAGTATGGTTCTGGCTTCTCAAACAACCCACTTGTCAAAGCCAATCTTAAATCAAAAACAGTTCATCTACTTCTCCCATGCACTGACCTCCATTCAGTGTAACTATAGTAGTAGTCAACATGTGCCCATGGAGCAAATGAGACACTAAGACAGCTTGTAGTACCAGCTTTCCACAAACGATGTGATCAAGTGAAGCAGCACAGCTGACAGTGAAATCGATCCCTGAATCAGCACCTGGAGCAGAGCCCTGGCTCAGTATGCCTGACCAATAGCTACTGGTGATCTCTGCTGGCAGAAGCCTGAAGCCTGGCAGGGTGCTGGGGGTTGTGTCAGGGTTGGTAAAGACAGGGAATGCAGAGACTGGGTGGGCAAGGGTGCAAAGATGCGCAGTGAAAGGCAAGTGAGAGGTCAGGGGGATAAACACCTTTGGGAGAAATGGGGCCGTGAGATTACATGTCCTAGGACAGAGGACAGGCGGTGTAGGAGGTGAGAGAAAAAACAAACCACAGCAAATCACCTCTATCTGTGGGTTGATATTTATATTCAAGAGTTATTGAGTGGGTGTTTGTTGACATTTAGAGTGCAATAATCTTAAAACATAATGCCAGAGGTTTTGTGTTTTTTAGCTTATTAAGTACAAATCATGTAAAATTTTCAGACTATTTTGCAAAGCAAGCCTCTTTTCCTAATAGTGACAGCAGATGAAAAACGTTACATTCATGAGCTACAGCTGAATCATATCCAGAAGACAAGCAACATGTGAATTTAATTATGTCTTGATCAAAATATACTCGAAACTGATTTGCCACACTCAAAGCAGATTCTTATTACGGCTCACCAAAGGAATGTGGAAGGTGAGAATCAATCTAAAAAAATATCGTCTTGTATGATTTGGGATTTAGATTACAGTAATTCAAAGACTGCATGGCTAAAACATGCAACACCACTGTATGGTCCTAAATAGTGTGTGTCTGTGCACATGTGGACTCACGGTTCCCCATGTGAGCTGGGGTCCTAGGTCACTGAAGTAAAAGCTGGCTGTGGTTCCCACCGGAAGTGTCTGCAGAACTTCCTCATCCCTGAGACACTTGGCCTCTGAGAAACAAGACAGTCCACAATCACCAGATCAGACAACATCACAAAACTTCATTACAACACCTGTGAATGAAGTGAGCTGGATAAATGCAGAATTTATTTTTAAAAAAGCAAACGCACTTGGATCCAAACGTAGGGACTGTCTGGCTGGGTACCACTTTGGATCTGTCAAAATGGAGAGGGATATTACTCTAGGCATGCTGGAGAGAATATTTATTAAAAATTAAGATTAGAATAAACAGAAATTTCGATGTTTTCGTACTTTTGTAAACTTACTCACATGATTTGTGAAACAAAGCTTTAATATCCAAAACAGTGGCAGTTGGCTCCACCTGAAACCAAAATGTAAAAAATCAACTTAAAATAGTTTTATTATGAGCAGCATTAGTGTTCAGACTTCCAATTTGACATTGACATGAGTGCTAAAAATACAAAAGCAAAGGTCATCTGTATTACTCTCTTTAAGTGCAGAAGTTTTCATTTCTGTTGGAATCTGTCACACTTGCATTTTGGCGTTTTCATCTGCAATGTGATCCCTCGCGCTTTCTGACACGACGCTGCACATTTATACAAGCTGCTAATCATGTGTATCTGCCTGCCTGACTGTTGGCCCCATGCAGCACAGGCATGCACTGTATTCCTGTCAGATGAAGAGGGATTTCTCACCTTCTAACTGCGACCCTCTCTCAATAGAAACGTTAACTGATAATGGCTGTACTTGACCAGGCCGCCTGTGAAGTATATGATTATCTGTAAAATTACCCGTCTGCTCACAGTGACGACTCTCCAGTTCTTGAGCTAACACAAACATGTTTCCCCTGACCTCGCAGCAAAGTAATCGCACTAGTCTCTGCCTATGCTACTTTTTGAAGAGACACATCTTTAATCGTGAAACTTTAAAAGGAATCCACTAGGAGGTGATAAACTGTAGTAATTGATCATAAAATCCATGGCATGCTACAAGTTCTCGAGCACTCTTTGTGTCTTCTGCATAGGACTTAAATGTCTGTGATCAGAATGCATCATGCACCAGTTAAAGCAAGTATTTCTGCAAGTATTTCTATTTCTTTCTGTGTTCTAAAAGAATTATGGTCAATATAAAACACGAGTGTGAACAGAAACCCTCCATTATCCAGACACTCACCTTGTCCAGCAGCAGCAGTTTCTCTTTAGTCTTTAAGTCGACGATCTCCACCTCAAAGTAAACAATCCTTTTGGCCTTTTTGGGAGGTTTTGGTTTTGGCCTCGCGGAAGACTTCTTCTCAGGTTCTGCTTCATTTACATTCTTTGCCTCTAAGGCGAGTACATCCATGATCCTGTTTGAGCCAAAACCTCAGTAGCCTGGTGAAATAATCTGTGTATGTATGTCCACTGACGCTGGTTGTCCTCTACTGGTATGGAAAGCAACCCCCTGCTCACTCCCCACACAACTGTCAGGCCAACTCAAGTGTGTCGTCTTTGGTGTCTTTTGGACTCTCTGAATAGCCCTCCGCCTCCAGTGGAAGAGGGACGGAAATATGTGAGACCATAAACACTTTTTTCCCTCCCAGATGGAGCGCATGTATGTGAAAGAGTGGAGGCAAGCGAAGGAGGAAAGAAAGTGAGGAGAAGTGGAAGGAGAGCTGGCCTAAGCACATGAAGTGAGCCTGCTCTTCACCTGAATAGCAGCCTCTTCTTGATCCACAGCCCCCCTTCACGCAACCAAATGCACTTAAGACGAAACCTGAGAACCCCAAGACATAATCCACATCGCGCCATTTGCACGGCTAAATATAAGTTGCCTGATTTGCTCTGTGCCAGCTTGGTAACCTTGGGAAGCCACATACAGCGCGACCCACTGACAAATGTCAATGTGCTCTCCTTAGACCTATAAGACACATCTCGTGCACGCTCTGCTCCTAGCTTGGTTACACAGTGACGGGGCCCCATTAAAAGCCTGATCCATGCATGAAAGACCTCCACATGCCAACACACACCCCTCCCCCAGACCACCTGTGGGACTGGTATTCTTTCTCCGAATGACCTCCAGAACAAATCCAATGTTTATTTCAGGGCCTGTGTGGTTCAAGGTTTGCATGCTGAATGACCATTGTTTCTAAAATACCCCAAGGAGGTTTTTGGTGGGAGGAGGGTAAATAAAATGCTGACTGGGAGAAGATCAAAGATGCCTTTCGTCGCACAGGGTCAACTGATCATTACACATAGCCAACTGCATATCTATATTCTAAGGTCTATTTATAACCGGTAGGAGCAGACCAAGCCAGCAGCAGCAAGCAGCAGTATCACTGTTTGCATTCCAAGATCATTTGTGAAACCAGAAAAATCCCTGTGCTAAACCTAATCCATTTTAAACTCTGATGACCAGAAAGACAACAATGAAGAGAAATAATCTCAAATATATGCTAAACTGGACAAACTTCTTTTTCAAAGGTGGTAACAGTTTGATCTGACACAAGAGGAATGGGACTCCAGGGGCTCACTTATCCTCAGAGTGTCGTGGTTAGAGGAACAGTCATTTATGCTGTTTGTAGATACAGTGTCACATTCACAAGTTATTTGAGTTGTCTGAAGCTTCTTCAAAATACCATGTTCCTAATTTAATTGAAGATTTGACATTAAAAGAAGAGATAAATGTAATCTAAGAAACTTTAGATAGTGATGTTTGTAAATGTATTACTTACTATAATGATTCTAATCTCTTAATTTCATTTCAACTGAGCATTTGTTTTCCTTTCTGGGAACTGCAGATGGTGAACACAGCAACAGCAACACTTGAAACTGTGTCAGAAAGCTGTTGATTTGATTACATGCTAATTTTAGAATCTGCAAATTCTGATTAAAGAGATGATAACTGATCCTGCACCCTCTGCAGCACTTGTACACCTACTGAGTAAGGTAACAGGCTGGTTAAATCCAGACACCAAACACTCTGGACATAACTTATTTCAACTTGTCCCCTCTGGTAGGCGCTGCAGAGCACCAGTGAACAACTTCCCACAAACTAACACACCCACGAACAATTCATTTAGCCACCCAAGCAAGGTCTCAGAGCAATCCTGTGAAATCACCCTGCAATACCAAATCGCCCTCACTGCACTTACACACACAGTACACACACACACACACACACGTACACACACACACACGTACACACACACACACACGTTCACACATACACAATTTGAGATACTTGTACTGTACTTCACTCTTATCTTTTTATGCCACTTTATAGAACTTTATTGTTGTACTTTTTACACTACAATTCTTTGACAGCAACAAGTAGAGCTGAAACATTGAAAGACTGATTTACTGCTGTTCCTTTCATTATTTTAGGAAGAATTTTAATTTATTTTTATTCATTTAGAATTTTGGGCTATTGGTTGGACTAAAATAAACACTGTGAAGGTGTCACTTTGGGCTCTGGGACACATTTCTCAATATTTTCAGAATTTTTACAAATCAAACAATCAATTGATAAATGGAGAAAATAATCAGCAAATGGGGTCCTATTCGAAATAGTTCAAACTTAGCTCCACCTTAACTACAACAGTAAATCCTGTTTTTATAGTAATGCATGAGTAATAATAAATTAATTATATAATGTATACTAATAACAGTCACAGGGAACTTTTTTCTGCATAATGAGTACTTTTACTTTGGATACTTTAAGGACATTTAGCTGATAATTGCAGCCTACAGTATGTAAAGTGAAGCCCCTGGCCGTAAGGGCAGTAAAAGCGTCACCGCTTGCGCATGCGTATATCGAAAAATGATAGCGGCTCAAGCGAAACCGGAAGTTGCCGGAGTGAATCATCTCGTCTCGATAGTGATGACACACATCAGCAGCACCAGCTTCTTCCAGAAGTTTCCTCGCACGGTTTACAGCTCGGCGGCAACACACGGACGGTCCTTCGTGAACACGTTGTTTTAAGCAGCGTGGTTTAAATTAAGTGACATCTCTTCTCCTCGTGTCAGTGAAGAGCAGAAACTTGTCCACGGACTGTGGCAAGTGAGCTAACCTTGACAGTTAGCTAACGTTATCCAGCTATTGTCCGCAGCAGTGACATCTGCGGCGGCGGCGGCGAAGCCCGTTAACTATTAGCCGTACACGGGACATGCTGTGTGTGCTGTAGGCACTGAACAGAAGCTGAAGCATCTACGCTGACAATGTCTTTATGAAGTGGAAGAAGACGTGACCGGTCATTGTAATGGGTAAAGATTACTACAAAGTGCTCGGAATAGCCAAAGGTGCCTCCGAAGATGAGATAAAAAAGGCGTACAGAAAACAGGCCCTGCGCTATCATCCTGACAAAAACAAGTCTCCCGGAGCAGAAGATAAATTCAAGGAGATTGCTGAAGCCTACGATGTCCTGAGTGATGCCAAGAAGAAGGACATTTATGATCGCTTTGGAGAAGAAGGTAACTAAGCTCCTCTTCCCCGCAACCTGCATACGGTTTTGTAGTTTGTGCAACTACTTTTTCGTGCAACTTGTGATTCAGCAAACCCCACATTTCAAATTATGTTAAGATCTCATTGATGCATCGTACTAATCGATCACTGCTGTTTCTGGCATCTTTCTACACAAGTAACCAGACAATGAAGAGGGGTGTGTGTGTGTGTGTGTGTGTGTGCACAATGGGTGCAGAACTTACTGGAAACCGCGAGTTCTTGCCTGACCTCTCAGTCTGAAACTTGTGGCTTTAAAATACACATATTTGTGCCTTTAGCCTGCAATGTTACAGTCTACATTCTTCATATGGTGCAAATACAGATATCTGACTTTTAGGCGTTAAAAAGACACATTTATGAACTGTAGCATTATGATCATTATTAGTCTTGGAGTTAATAAATACTTTCATCATCACATTATTCATTGGATTTTTGTGGAGATTGATAAATTTACTGGTAAAATTAACAAAGGTGAGCTTGTTAATGTTAAGTTCTGAAAGTTGGAAAAAGTCTGATAACATTATGTCAAAACAAACAACAAAATCTTTTGTTAAGGTTTTGTTGTTAGAGAACTGTGGAAGATCTATGTTGGTGATGGTTTCAAAATTACCTCAAACACACATATATATACATTCGTGGGTACTGACATGTCATAACCTACCTGCTTAGGTATCATTTAAGCTTGGCGTCCTTCTGTGCTTTATGTCTTCCTCCTCTTTAGGATTAAAGGGTTCAGCTGGTGGTGGAGGTGGCGGGCACAGCGGTTCAACATACAACTACACCTTCCACGGAGACCCTCACGCAATGTTCGCCGAGTTCTTCGGTGGCCGCAGCCCTTTCGATCATTTCTTCCCCCAGAACGGGGATGATATGGACATCAACGACCCCTTCGGAGCGTTTGGCATGGGGAGAATGGGCGGCATGGGTGGGTTTCACAGGTCCTTCAAATCCCACCAGGGAGGCCATCACAGAACACAGGAGAAAAAGAAGGACCCTGCCGTGGTGCACGAGCTGAAGGTGAGCCTCGAGGAGGTCTTCTCAGGCTGCACCAAAAAGATGAAGATTTCCCGCAAAAGGCTGAACCCGGACGGCTGCACCATGCGGAACGAGGACAAGATCTTAACAGTCGACATTAAGCGCGGCTGGAAGGAGGGGACCAAAATCACCTTTCCCAAGGAGGGAGATGAAACTCCCGCCAACATTCCTGCAGATGTGGTGTTTGTAGTTAAAGATAAACCCCACCCGGTGTTTAGAAGAGAGGGCTCAGATATAATTTATCCTGCAAAAATATCACTCAGAGATGTAAGTAAACACTGATGTCACAAAATATCACTCAGACACAAATTTTTCGACAAAATAAATGCGTGTTCCAGTAATAATTTAACTAAACATGCTGATTAACCGAATATTAGTGGCTGTATCTGTCTCATCACCTTGTTTTCCATCCTCTCCCCGTCTCTCTCCAGGCACTGTGTGGATGCACAGTCAGCGCCCCGACACTGGACGGCCGGACCATCACTGTGACCTCCAGAGATGTCGTCAAACCTGGAATGAAAAAGCGAATCGTTGGAGAAGGGCTCCCTCTCTCCAAGTGCCCTGAGAAGAGGGGGGACATGATCTTGGACTTCACAGTAAAATTTCCTGATAAACTGGGCCAAAGCACTCGAGATGCACTCAAACAGGTCCTTCCACTGTGACATGAAATACTCAAAGTTTTAGGTCGACATTTCCAGTGACGATTGAGGCTCAGGGCAGATTTGGTTCCAGCTGTGTTTAATTTGACTGTCTGAACACCAAATCCAGTATCTCACCCAGTATCTAGTCAGTTTGATGATTGTCTGAAGACTTGAAAACTGACAGAACAGCTGATTTTATATGTTTCGGCCAAAATACACTGCTGCTGAACGGCGCTCGCAAAACAGCCGCCCCTATTATTTTCTATGTACAACCCCACACACCACGCTGGTCGACGCCATGCCCTGTGACACTTTACACTACAGCCCTATTTCCAGCCTCGCCGCCCCTACAGACCTTATGTACTTGTTGCTTGCTTTTCGCTGTAGTTTTAACAATTTCACTTGTGCCTGTATCTACAAGGCAAAAATCAATAACTTTCCCTCTCTCCCTGCTTTTACATCCCGGCTCCCGTGGCAGCTCGACCTCCTCACCTCTCGCTGTTGCTGTCTCTCTCTTGTGTGTGTAGAACAATGGTGTGTGTGGTCGGCGCGCTCCAGTGTGGCGCTTCCTATTGGTGCTAGAAGTGGCACTTCATGCACGACACATGTTTTGCACTTTAAGTAACAGCCTGCCACCATGTCAGCTTCAAGGAGTAAAAGTAGATAATAGAAAGTATATATATATATAATGATGCAAGGTTGAAGTGACAGCTTTTGGATTGGCTGCAGAGTGTTCTTGTTTAAATGTTTGTCGAATTGCACCACTTGAACATGTAATATAGTAAGTGAGGATTTGGTGTCACAGCAGCTGTTTTAAGGAGCGATTTAAGGTAGCATGCAGACAGCTAATTAACAATACCTCAGGTGCAGTGATACATGCTCGAACGTTACTATAACTACATTATTCAACAGGACATAGTTTGGGTTGTCGCTTTTACAAACACAAGTGGATCCTGAGAAATAGCAATGTACTGCTCTGATCCACCAACATTGACTTTATGAAGCTGGTCAGTTTCGATCAACGTAAAATACACTTTAAATTAAAAAAATTTTTTCTGTCAATTCAATGTTTCATCTACATAATCACAGTGGGCCACAATCTCTGGATGGACTAAAACTATATAATTAAAATGTGCTCAAGTCTAAAATTAGACTTACATGTGACGTGTATGGACGTCTACAAGAAGCAGGAAGAGATGTAATTCCAGGAAGTTCCCCGCAGTGAGGTAGCATTAAACAAATTTTAAATTCAGTTAAGAGAGAAATATCTACAGATATCTGAGTAGATGTATCGAAAGATAAATAAAATCCCAGGTGTTTTAAAATGGTACATTTAGCAAAATGTTCACTTTTACGACATCTTGTTTACCCGGAGCTTATTACTTATGTAAAATTTTTGTGGGAAGACTTTTTGTGCCAAATAAGAGTGTGTGTGTGTGTGTGTGTGTGTGTGTGTGTGACTGACAAACTACCAAAACCTTGAAGTTATTGTTGTATTGTAGTGCTTATATAATCTAAAGCTAATCTAAAGTTATTTATTCTATTTTTTGCCCAACATGGTATAAACCTGCTGCAGTCCGCACCTTAAAGGCCTGCAGAATATGTTTGATTTATTATTGTCTTATAGCGCGTACCTGACAGGATTCACTCCAAGATGTACAATATCTGGAAATACATCTGGAATGTAGTTCCACAGTCCAGTACGCGAAAAAAATCCACTAGGAGCTATGTCACATTCAGCCCTGTGCACCTTTTGATTGTAGTGATGAAGGCAGTTAGTAAATCAGTTGGTTCACTTTCACATTTTAAGTATTTTTGGTGTCTGTGTGACTGTTACCTGCTGGAGTTTCACAAACGTGGTTTAATATGTATGTAGAGACATGTAGTCTCTGTGATGTGTAGCTTTTTTTGTTTAAAAAAAGGATATTTGCATTTTCCCCTTGCAAGCATTTTCCCTTCTTAAGGGAAAGACCATTATATTTGTTTTTTCTTCTTTTTGATGTTTTGAAATTCCTCAGGTTGGGATTCAAGATATTTTGAATTGGTAATGTGAGGGGACATTTTAATAGAACTTTCATATGCTGTGATGATTTGCATTGACTGGCTAACAAATGTGGTCTACATGTTTTAGTTGTTACATAATTGTAATTAAAGTCCTTTTCCCAAACCCTTGATTCAAATATCTGAAACATGAAGGAGCATTCACTGTATTTATGATCTCTATTCTGCATAGTGGGCCTTAATTAATACACTGTTTGTCTTTACGGATCAATAAACGTAAATCGTTAACACCCTCAATACGAAAGAGTTGGACAGAACTAAAACAATACAACTGAGCTGAGATTGAAAGCTAATTGTATTTTATGCAACATGATCCATTAGAAGCAACATATATATTAAAATGCACCTTTTGTTATAAAACCAAATTGAAAGAGGCTGTCCACAATTTGTGGCGACCGCCCCCGCCGCCTCAAAAAAAGGTTTTAAATCATCAAAGTATTTTAAATCACATTTCTCAAGTGGCTACGCTGTTTCCTGATAACAGGGAGGTGACATATGTATTTACTGAACTTATACAACGTGAACAAAGCTTTTAAAGATAATGATATTTGTCTGTTTCCAAATGATAACATAATTTAAACTTATGCTTAATTATGTTACATTGACACAAACAAGCTACGTACCTGTCATCGTGTTCAAAACAGTCATGTTCATGCACTACCCTCTAGTGGCCATAGTGAGTAACAACATGCTTAATTCCGCCTTGTTTTATTTTGAAGGGTTTTACCGGAAGCATCACTGTTATTGTGTCTTTCTTGCCACTACTGCCATTGCAAGTCCTCACTGTGGCCGTTAGAGGGCTGAACAAGTCGTGATTGGAACTATACGAAGACTTTGTCAAAACTAAATACACGTATTAGAAGAGATAAATACAGCAAGTTATTAATAACAATCCTTGAATCGCTTTCAATGACAGTTGAGATGTGCAAGTATCCACTGAATCCCATCTACAGTACTGTGTACGTTTACTAGCTTGACTGTCAAGTCCGTCACCATAGCACAGTAACACTTCCGGTTATAACCCTTTAAAAATAACGTTCTTTTCAGTGGACAGGCGTTATCCATCGAGACTACCAGAGATGATTGTATACTCAAAACTATAAGCGTACGTATTACAAACATCACCTCTTTGTCTCTTAAGGCAGACAAAGTTGCATGCTCACACTTTGTGGACATGTTTAGACATGGCCCTTAACCTTAGTCGTACTCTCCAGTTTATGCCTCTAATATTATGATATTACTTGAACTTTGACACAACACTAGGCTAACTTAAAGCTCCTCTAAATGAATATAAAAGTAACGTAAAATAGCACGCTCACGCTCATGACTCACACCCTCTTTATTCTCTCGCTGAAGCACGAAGTACAGACTTTACAGCAATTGTTCCACTGGGAAGTTGGGATTTACGAGGAAACCTGAAGGCGTCAGTGTTCCACCCCTGCTGGGCTGGCAAAGAGCTAAATCTACAGCAGCATACCGACACACAGATACTGTACTAACCCCAATCTGCCCCGGCCAAGTAAACCTGTCAGGAGTAGACGAGCAAAAGCTAATTGGACTTTCTCTGCAGGCGTAACGTTATTTTTTGAGAACTCACAGCAGCACCGTTAGCAGGCTAAGCTAGCAGGGCTAACAACAGTTAACGTTAGTTAGCTAAAACTCCTGCTCCGGTAAGAATGACTGGCCTGCCATGTTTACTCACGCCTGGTCACATTTAGCGATCATTTATCAAGCTAGCGAACTAACCACGCTGTTAACGTACTACTGAGAGGCATTATCAGTCAGTGATTTAACTAGCATCCGTTTTCAGTAGCTACGTGCTAAGCTGCTTGCTGCCTAAGAGTTGTCAGTGTTTGTGTTGTTAGAATTGAAAGAGATGTGGAAAATGTGCCTCCCAGCTAGCAACTAACATTAGCGCTGATGTCCTGACTGTCCAAGCTAATGCATAACGTTAGAGACACGACTAATTGAAACCTTTCTTTAATGTTACCAACATTAACGTTATACACTACTCTGAGGAAATGTTAGGGCAATGCTGGGATAACTGAGATGTCACTGCTTTGGTAACGTTAAATATATGAAAATGAAAGAGTTTCTGTCTCTGTTTTACAGCTGAAGACCACCCACTGCAGGGTGCTGGACTTGACACATCCGACTATGTAAGCTGCTCTGATGAGTGGACTTGTAAATCCGTACAGCGCCTGGTTAAGACAGCTCTCAAGCTGGTCTGGAGGACCGTACCTTTACTGTGACATATAAACATCTAACAGACCTTCAGGTGATTTGGCTGGACAGGTGTATGTTGGCCTGGATTGGAGCATAACTCCCCAGAGCAGCCTCCTCCCTTCCCCCTTCCATTGCTCTACCTGTAAAGACTACTATGCCTCTGGGGTTGGGAAGAAGGAAGAAGGCGTCCCCGTTGGTCGAGAATGAGGAAGCGGAGCCTATCCGCGCAGGTCTCAATGTGCCAGGTATGGATGGCCTAGATGGGGGTGTTGTGGGGCTGGGAGAAGGTGCCACCTCTGAAGGTCTGCCTCCTCCACCTAGCAGCATGCGACCTCGCCTCATCTTCCACACGCAGCTCGCTCACGGTAGCCCCACAGGCCGTATTGAGGGATTCAGTAATGTGCGTGAGCTCTATGCCAAGATTGGTGAGGCCTTTGGGATACCACCGTCTGAGGTGAGTCATTGTGATTCTGATAGTGATCGATGTGAGGAAAAAACAGGCATTATGGTACATCTTACCTGATATTTCTCTTCACAGGTTATGTTTTGCACGCTGAACACTCACAAGGTGGACATGGATAAACTGTTGGGAGGTCAGATTGGGCTGGAGGACTTTATTTTTGCCCACATTAAAGGACAGCGTAAGGAAATAGAGGTGTACAAAGGGGAGGATGCACTAGGGTTGACCATCACTGATAATGGAGCTGGCTATGCTTTCATAAAGGTGAGAAATGTTAAAATGACCTAGAAAAATTATTTCTTTTGACAAGGATCCACAGGAGACTGCAGCACAGAATATGAAATGTGAATAAATTCCATGTGGTAGGGAGAGAGCAATGAGTTGAATTTTGAGTTTTGCTGTTTTCAGAGAATCCGCGAGGGAAGCGTCATCCACCAGATCCAGGTCATCAACGTGGGTGATATGATCGAGTCTATCAACGGCCATCGCCTGATTGGGTGTCGACACTATGAGGTGGCCAAGATGCTGAAGGAGCTGCCAAAAGGGAAGGAGTTCACCATCAAGCTGGTGGAACCTCTCAAGGCCTTCGGTAGGTGTGGTAGGAGGAGGAGTCTGAGCGACAGCCTTAATCGTGATATTTGTTACAGTCTCGGATGTTGTGTGGCAGCAAACTTCACCAGAGCATCGTCTGCTCTCTCTGGACAATCACTCAGCACACGCTGACTTACTGGAATAGTCTTAACTGTCACTGATTGCAAATAATACTGTCTCATGTGACTATGAAGTGTTATTTAAGACCTCATTGAGTTTCAGTTGCCATACTACATGATTTTTACATCTTATTTTGGTTCTTAGTACTGCTCCAAGAGTTATGGTTGATAATCTAAAATCTCATTGCATAAAATTAATAGACACGAGTCTGACTTAAAGTGCCCTTGCTTGCACATATTAAGCATAGTGTAGCATATTAAGCCATTTAGGTGCCCTCTGGGTTTTCAGTCATTTCCTTCAAATTACATTGACTTGCCTAAAAGGAGGTATTGTGGGCTAAGAAGTGTGACAAGGCATGCTGTTCAGCACTGTAAAAGGTGGAGAATACCAGGAGGAAATCAGGAGGTATCTGTAGCCTTGTTTCTGTCAACCTTTTTTTTTTTTTTTTATGCACATTTTGTTGTATTGCATTAGAAAAGGTTGATGGAAACGGCAAAAAAAAAAGCTTTTGTGCTCGCTTGAGGTGGTTTTTGCTTTTGTAAAAAAAAGAGAACGCACTAAATGGGAGATGGAAACACTTGCTAAATAGGCTCTGACGTAGCAAACATGTAACTCACAACTGATCAGCTGTTTTCGCTGTTGGCGTCTGGCCGGATATTCTCATAACAGACGGAGACATGGCTGATAGCAAATTGCCTGCTTGAAACACATTCCTCAGAACCTCTCTCCATTCTATAATCTATTGTACTGGTTTTGTTTCTGGTTTGCAACCAATTCTTCCTGTTTATTACACCCATGTGTAACGTCATCTACTGACGTAACTACGCTTCACCGTAGCCTCGTTTAATCGCTCCAAACCAGCTGTTTATATTGTGTGTTGTGTATATATTATGTATTTTTTTTTTTTTTTGCGACAGTCCACTTAAAATTTGCATGACAATTAGATGTAAACATAGCTTGTGTTTAATTATTGTGTGTAGATATGATCAGCCAGCGTTCTGGAGGGTCCAGGTCAGCATCAGGGGTGCAGCTGGGGACTGGAAGAGGAACTCTGCGGCTGCGCTCTAAAGGTCCCGCGACTGTGGAGGAGCTGGTGAGTGTGTTTACAATCCCTGTGGACTAATAAAGGGTTGTTTAGAAAACATAATTGTGTATCATTGCCTGAGTCTGTGTGTTGGATTTTCTTCACTCCAGCCCTCTGCGTTTGAGGAAAAGGCCATTGAGAAGGTGGATGACCTTCTTGAGAGCTACATGGGCATCAGAGACAGCGAGCTGGGTATGTGTGCTGGTTGTTACAGCTGTCAGAATAAGTTTGTGTCACTTGCTTGTTTCGTGTTCACTAAATGTTCTCTGACCTCCCTCCGTGTCCACAGCGGCAACTATGGTGGAGCTGGGAAAGGACAAAAAGAACCCGGATGAGTTTGCCGAGGCTTTAGACGAAACCCTGGGAGACTTCGCCTTCCCCGATGAGTTTGTTTTCGACGTCTGGGGTGCCATCGGCGACGCTAAGGTCGGGCGTGTGTAAGCGCAGAAACTAATGGAGCAGAAGAACCTGTGTGTGTGCGTGACACCCACAACATTCAGCACTACTAGGAAACACAACACTACCGTCATGAGTTTTTTATTTTTTATTCCAGTGTATACTTTTAATTTAAGAGTGCTCCCTTTTGGGAGACTCTGCCTAGACAAAGAGGATAATGCCAGTTAATGGGAGTAAAAGGTGACAGTGATGACTTCCCAAGTGCTTTTTTTTTTTTGTCTTCCGGCTTTTTCCAGAAACTACAAGCACGAGTCACATGACCCTCGCATGTCATTGTTGTAGTTGCTGTCAGTGGAACAAGTACAGCACAAGTCTCTAATATGGGAGAAATGAAAGACAACAGCTAACACAAAGTAGATCTTTGATACTTAACAGAAAACAATGTGATTTATCCCCCACGTCGCACTGTGTTGCACTGCACTGTAAAGCAACAACAGAAGTGAACAGATATTGCACCGTGCCACACCTGGTGAGTGGCACAGTTATTGCACAGTACAAGGCCTCCCTGAGTTACAGTGTCGCCCTAAAACACTCGATGTTACTGTTACGGATCTGTTTTACAAGCATGTGCTGGTATATTTTTATCTTCATAATGAATTCTGCTGGGTTTGTTCTTTTTTTTTGGGAGGGGTAAAAGAAAAATAATTGTAGTTACAAAAAGGGTCAAAGTAAAGTGTAGCTCACTAATAAAAAAGTCAGAGGTGGTTAGGTGTTTGCCGTTAACACACTCCGTGCTGTAATGAACTGCAACACATTCCAGTCTCACTTTCATACATTTGACAGTGTTACAGAAAATCAGTGTTACTGTGTTTAATTGAATAATTAATTGAAATGATAATGCGAAGTTGGTTTCCAGGTTTGTGGATTGTTTTACTTTTTTATTTTTTTTTTTATAGCTAGTGTTTTTACATAAAGTGATGTGATGTCTATTTTAAAACCATTTTGTGTGTGTGTGTGTGTGTGTGTGTGTAACAGATGAAGAATTTGAACCTGTGTTGCGACTACTTTATTGTTTTTGAAGAATTACAGAAGGCAGTATTAAAGAAGAGAGAGTGACGAGGTGGGGTAGTTGTGTTAAAAAAAAGAAAAAAAAAAGAGAGAGAATAGGAATCTGTTAAGAACAAAATGCCTTTTATTTCTTCTCATTTCATGCATTTTATACATTTTTCGTTAGAAGTATGCATTCTGGTGCATGGTGCTGAAAAATCAAGTATCCTGTCATTGGGAGCAGAATGATACCAAACGACTTCCACCATGTGTTGGAGTGACTTGTGTTCATAGAGAGGAGAAACAGGCAATGCTGCACCAACCACCAGGCCTAGGTGAACACGTGTCTTAAAACGTCTTAGTGTTAACCTTTTCCACTATATCTAAATGTATAAATCTATTTTGTAGTTTTGTTTCATTCTTCAGAGTTAATGAGCATATAAACGGGTTATGTAATGAAACTGATGCTAGAAGACTAACACTGAGAAGACCACATTTTGTCTGATGGCTTTGTATTACACTGTTGTAAATGTCCAATTATAATGCAATAATAACATCGACATGGCAGTCCCCCCCCCCCCCCCCCCTTTCCCTTTGACCTTTCCTTAACACAGTGCTTTGCATCACAAAATGTGTATTCGATCGGATTGTCCGACACTGTCTGCTGTTAAAATACAATACTGTGATCTGCAGGAGTGTTTTCCAACATTCCACCCCTGGGCGGGCATGTTTGTGTTTCTTCTCACTGTGTCCCCCTGAAATATACATGACATTTAACCGGTGAAGTCATTTTGGGTGTCAGCAGGCCTTCAGAGGTAACGTAATAAGATACACTTTGGTAAACTTGATAGTGCCGTCAAGCTCAGCAGGGTCACCTCCAGGCCTCACGTTTTAATCAAGGAAGATCTATCTCAGTGCACCCCTAAATACCTTTTTTTTTGCAGTCTGTTTAGATTATAAATGTTATAATAAAGTTTTATGCAGCTGTTTTGAGTTCTGTTTGCCTTGACATGTCCTGCTATCATACCTCCTGTATTTGATTTTCCTTTCATTCAAAAATAGACCAAAAACTGCCTGAGCACTTTGTTGCTTTTTCTATAAAGAAGAAAACATGCATTTTCGACTCAGCTGGAGTCGTCCCTGTTACACAGAGCTCTGGGGTGGCTGTTAGATGAGGGATGGCGACGTCCTTTATTTACTAGAAGTGACGTAAACCTGTTCTTCAAGTCACTGTTGATCTGTAACTCGCACATAAACTGGGTCCAGATTACTCTACGGACACTGCAGTCAGAGAGGAGCACTTTGGTGAACTTGCACTTTATGCAACAAACAACCACAGCTATAAAAGCAGCCCCCCGCCAACAGAAACCGGCCATGGCGCTGCGCCCACGTGCTTCCTCTCAACCTGGAAAACTTTCTTTTCTCCAGAGTCCCAAGGTGGCTTCGACTCTTCGACCCCGGGCTGTTTCTTCGCAGTCAGGCTCCATGTTGGAAGAGGAGCTGTCTTGTCCTGTCTGCTGCGAGATTTTCAAGGACCCCGTGGTGCTTAAGTGCAGCCACAGCTTCTGCCGAGTCTGTCTACAGCAGTTCTGGAACAAGAAGAAGGCCAGGCGCGAGTGTCCCATCTGCAGGAGGAAGTGCCCCCTGACGGAGCCCACAGTGAGCCTGGCGCTGAAGAACGTGGCTGACACCTTCCTGAGGGAGCAGGAGCGCAAGACGGCCACAGCTGGGACAGGGACAGAGGCTGGGGCCAACGGGGCAGGGGAGGGGGCAGGGGAGCAAGCAGGGACGGTGGAGGAGCGCTGCATCACACACGGGGAAGTACTCAAGCTCTTCTGTCTGGATGACTTTGAAGTCCTCTGCTGTGTGTGTCACACCTCGAAGAAGCACCAGGGACACAGAGTGTGTCCCTTGGAAGAGGGAGCTCAGGACCTTAAGGTAAAGTCTTCTTGTTTAGCTGCAGTTTGTTAACAGATTACATTTGTTCAATCATTAGTGTAATTCACTTTTTTCACAGCCATGCAGTAAAACTCAGTGGATATCGCTGAGGTCCTTAGACACCAAATTTGATTGCAGGAATTTGCCCGACACTTTCTCCACTTTCACCCTTTAGGCAGAGATGAAGCAAGAGCTGATACCTCTGAAGAAAAACTTGCGTTGCCTGTATGAAGCCAAGCAGGAGTGTGATGACACAACCGTGCACATCAAGGTATCAATAAACACAGCGATCATGAAACACTAGGGGACCAGCATGACCGCTGGCTTCTCAAGCCAAACGCTGTTAGTGTATAAACAAAGGTGTCAGAGAGGCCACCTAGTTTGCTTTTGGAGTTCAAGTTCTCAGATTGGATCTTAATGTTTTTGGGAGAGAGCTACAGTCTTTGTAATTTAGGGTTTGCTTCAAAAATAAGAATACAAAGTCTGTACACGTTTTAGAAAGGTTTTTTGTTTTGCTTAACCCAAAACAAGAGCGGCTTTATAATATATTTTAAAGGGATGCTAGACTGATATCGAGAAAGGTTATGCCTTTAGAGATACCAAATACAGAGAATGAGGAAACTGTAGGGCCAAAATAGGTTGTGATAAATCTGAGTAAAGGTAATTATACCTTACTGAAAAATGTCAGTCCCAAAGTTGTACTGTGGCTAAACAGAGGCTGACAAAGATAAGTACATTACAACTCAGCATCTGTCACATTGTCATACATTCACTATTTCCGCGTTGATCCATGTGTGCTAGAACCAGACTCAGGCCACAGCAAAGCAGATCAAAGCGGAGTTTGAGCAGCTGCGAGAGTTTTTGCAGAAGGAGGAGACAGCGCGACTGGCTGCCCTGCAGCAGGAGGACCAGGAGAAGAAAGAGCTGGTGAAGAAGAAGTCAGAGAGCATCACCAGCTGTATCCTCACCTTCTCTCACGCTATCATTGCCATTGAGAATGAGATTGCTTCCAGTGATGCTCTCTTCCTTAAGGTAAGAGAGGTTTTTTTTAAAATAAATGTTTCTCTCTGAATTCCTTTGTCCGTGCAAACACTTTGCAATCCTCTCGTTTGATTTCAGAATTACACCAACACAAAGAAAAGGTAAGCACTTTCCTATCTTCTGCATCTGTTTAGACCAGATTCAGCTTGCTAATTGTTCAGAATTGGTTCATTCCTGTGTGTGACATTCTCCTCACAGAGTACAGATCCCACACAAGGATCCAGGAAAAGTGTCAGGTGCTCTTATAAATGTGGCCAAGCATGTCAGTTCCATCAAGTACCATGTATGGGAGAAGATGGTGGAGCTGGTTCAGTACAGTAAGTGCTCACTTGACTCTGTGTGAGACGTTTGGTCACTATAGTTGTTTTGGAGCAGGTATTAGTCAATTAGTAGTTTGAACCTGAGGAAGACCAGTGTGTGGTCAATATGTGCTGGCCTTGTTTTTGATCATGTAGGTGTGTCAGTGGAGGCTTTTCAAAATCACAGTCTGTTTGTTGTCTTTCTCTTTTAGCACCGATTACCCTGGACCCCAACACTGCCTACTCCTGGCTGTCCCTCTCCCCAGACCTGACCAGTGTCACCAACAGTGGATCCCTCCAGCAGCTCCCGGACAATCCTGAACGTTTCGGCCACTTTGTGTTCGTGCTGGGCTCAGAGGGCTTCACTTCGGGCTGCCATGCCTGGGAGGTGGAGGTGGGCGACAAGTTGGACTGGATGCTTGGGGTGGTCAAGGAGTCCATCGACAGAAAAGGCCGTATCTCGGGCTGTCCTGAGGGCGGTTTTTGGATGATCTCGCACTACGATGGCAAGTACTCGGCCATGACGAGGCCCAGCACCCCGCTGCATCTGGAGGGAGAGCTGACCCGAGTCAGGGTGCAGCTGGACTTCGACTCCGGAGAGGTGATCTTCTCCAACCCTATTAGCATGACGCCCATCTACACTTTTACCGACTTCTTCACCCAGAAGATGTATCCCTTCTTCTGCCCTGGAGCCAACATAAATGGCAATAACCCCAACCCACTTAAGATCTGCCCCGCCAAGGTGGTTGTGTGGAACAGTGCGACATGGTGATTTGAGGATGCCTTACAAAGGCCATTAAGCAAACTTAAGAAATTTAAGCAGACGATAGTTATAATCAGTGCATGCGTGTGTGTAAAATGACCACATTACAAGCAAAGTAATTATAACAGGTATTGGTTTATTTCACTTGGGTGTATTTGGTGAATGACTGCTGCCGATTAAACACAAAGTGGTTGTTTAAAGCTACCAGGGGATGGTCTTGCCTTTATAATCCAGGAAAGCTCCATTCTGCTTCTCAGTCAGGGAAGAGATCACACTAAGCATCCCCTGCACACTCTCCTGAGCATCAATGTCCCCCTGGTCGGAAACACACAGTTAACATGAGGGCTCACACAGGACGGGAAATCTCCTTTTAGTTTGACAAAAGGCAGAAAAACTAATGTTTGTACCCACAGACCAGTTATAAACTCTACAGCTGCACTCATACCAAAAGCAAAGTAAGTGATTCAGACTCCCCCCTCCAAAAATTTGACACAGAACTGTTTTTCAGTGTCAGTGTAAACAGGAAAAAAAAACATTCTCAATCTGCAATTTTCAGTCCTGACCTGGAGCCCTTTGAAATGTAATCAGTATCTGATTTATGGCAACATGACTTATGTGTTTATGAGGGACAGTAAAATGTTGCAAAACTATTTAAAATGACATGCCAATAAATAAATACATTATATATATATACAGTGGGTACGGAAAGTATTCAGACCCCTTTAACAGTTTCACTCTTTGTTTCATTGCAGCCATTTTCCAAAAATCAAAAAAGTTCATTTTAGTTCTCAGTAATGTACACTCAGCACCCCATCTTGACAGAAAAAAACAGAAATGTAGAAATTTTAGCAAATTTATTAAAAAAGAAAAACTGAAATATCACATGGTCATAAGTATTCAGACCCTTTGCTCAGTATTTAGTAGAAGCACCCTTTTGATCTAATACAGCCATGAGTCGTTTTGGGAAAGATGCAACAAGTTTTTCACATCTGGATTTGGGTATCCTCTGCCATTCCTCCTTGCAGATCCTCTCCAGTTCTGTCAGGTTGGATGGTAAACGTTGGTGGACAGCCATTTTCAGGTCTCTCCAGAGATGCTCAATTGGGTTTAAGTCAGGGCTCTGGCCGGGCCATTCAAGAACAGCCACGGAGTTGTTGTGAAGCCACTCCTTCGTTATTTTAGCGGTGTGCTTAGGGTCATTGTCTTGTTGGAAGGTAAACCTTCGGCCCAGTCTGAGGTCCAGAGCACTCTGGAACAGGTTTTCGTCCAGGATATCCCTGTACTTGGCCACATTCATCTTTCCCTCAACGTCTTCCATTTGAGGATTATGGAGGCCACTGTGCTCTTAGGAACCTTAAGTGCAGCAGAAATTTTTTTGTAACCTTGGCCAGATCTGTGCCTTGCCACAATTCTGTCTCTGAGCTCTTCAGGCAGTTCCTTTGACCTCATGATTCTCATTTGCTCTGACATGCACTGTGAGCTGTAAGGTCTTATATAGACAGGTGTGTGGCTTTCCTAATCAAGTCCAATCAGTATAATCAAACACAGCTGGACTCAAATGAAGGTGTAGCACCATCTCAAGGATGATCAGAAGAAATAGACAGCACCTGAGTTAAATATGAGTGTCACGGCAAAGGGTCTGAATACTTATGACCATGTGATATTTCAGTTTTTCTTTTTTAATAAATTTGCAAAAATTTCTACATTTCTGTTTTTTTCTGTCAAGATGGGGTGCTGAGTGTACATTACTGAGAAATAAAATGAACTTTTTTGATTTTTGGAAAATGGCTGCAATAAACAAAGAGTGAAAAAAATAAAGGGGTCTGAATACTTTCCGTACCCACTGTGTGTATATATATATATATATACACACACACACACACACACACACACACACACACACACACACACACACACACACACACACACACACACACATTAAAAAGAAATTGCTGTGCAGGGTCAAAAGAATCTCCATTTCACAAGGATCAATATTCTAATGCAGTTATCCCTCCTATGACACACTGGGAGACACCAGCAGACTTCAACAAGTTCTAAGTGACCTTAAACCTTCGTATACTTCTGCACAAGCGTCCCTCAAAGAAGGCAGGCATAAGCAAGTCTGAAAGATACATGCGATAGTTATGCCATATCTTGAACAACTGAATTTGAATGTGTAAAACAAAACTTTAATATTAAGTTTTATGAATGTGATTTTGCCTACTACTAATAGTACTACTAATATTTTCTTTTGCCATTTTGAGAAAGCCCAACGAGTAGCCTACATTAACACTCAAAGCTAATGTGTGAGAAATGTGAAGTCATGCAACATGATGTTAATGTTGTGCTTCTCAATTAATAAAGTAAACTATCATTCACTCTGGTCCCTCTATACTGGTTCATTGTATCCTTTATAACTAGAGCATTGAGGTAAAAAACGCAGACTCACCCCCTCTCCTCCCATGTCAGTGCGAACCCAGCCAGGGTGCAGCGCAGAAACCAGGATCTCATCCATCTTCAGCTCCTCTGCAGCACACAGTGTCAGCATGTTCAGACCTGCCTGTGAAGAGAAGAGAGGAAGGAAAAGGAGGAGACTTTTTTAGGTGAAGGGTGAACAGTTCCGCTCGATGGATGTAACATGAAGAGTTTGAGTAGCAGGTCACAGTGTTAGCAGGTTGTCACTCACCTTGCTGATGCGGTAGGAGATGGCAGGGAGGAAGGAATATGACTCTTTTACAGATTCCATTGAACCTAGAAGTGCGGAGATTCCTATGACTGCTGCTTTACTGCTCGACATCCCAGACATCTTACTGGCCTTCGCTGCTGCACGAAGGTGAGGCAGGAACTCCTAATGATGCAATAAGGTCAGTGAGAGGAAACACAAAACAATGTAGAGCAGAAGAGCACCACCCAATTTCCTTCTTTTAAATGGAAAAGAAAATGCAGTATTGAAGTTCTGTGTTTCAGACATGACACATGATCTTCCTCTCCCTTACTTTAATGATGTTCATAGGGCCAATGACATTGGTGTCAAAAGTTATCTTCATGTCCTCTGGACTGGTTTCCTGCAGGGTGCCTTTGGCCAGGAACCCTGCGTTGTTAATCAGCAGGTTGAGACCTCCTGTCCCCACCAGAGAGTCCACCTGCTGGGCGCTCTGCTTTATGCTACAAAGGTCGGTGGCGTCTGACAGAGAGATTAAAAAGTGGAGCATCATCAGCATTGGTCAACAGCAGACAGTCAGATAAATATCACAACACAGCGTTATTCATAGAGGCAAGGCCAGTGTGTGTCCAGACATGGGTGCAGGACGGAGAGCTTGTACCTAGTTGGATGATAGAGATGATGTTAGGATGCTTCTTTGCCAGTGTCCTCAAGGCCTGTAAATACACAGAGAAGACAAGTTTGTAATTCAGGAGAAGCAAAGAATACAGCACACAGTTGATCACTTGGACTTACTTATCTGTGCAGGATTTCTGCTTCTTCACAGCCCTATCAATCACTGCAGCTTTGTGGTTTGCGAGAGAATTTTATTTTTTTTCCTGTACGTAATTTAGGGAGTAGAAACACAGTCATTTGATGAGGAACTCAATGAGGCACAGAGTAAATAAAGACTCTCACCTCAGCCCTGGGTCCATCGGGGTTCCTGCAACAAGCAAACAGCTTTCTTACTGGATGGGGGGCCTCAAGCATTTGCTTAACCATCTCCAGGCCCAGGCCTCGGTTTGCTCCTGTGATCAGCACACTGACTGGTTGCGCCGCCATTTCCTCTGCTTCAATTTGCACAGTTCTCTGCCTGAGCTCTTATACGCCTTGTTTGTTGAATGTCTGGTTTTTAGCCTGGCCACACCCACATTCTTCAATCGCAGCGTGTATATTCCAGCTTCCGTTCCACCTCAAACATTGTGACAAGTCAGGCATGTGTAGGGCTTAGCTCACATACTGATAAGATGAAGATGTGATTATGTTTAAACACGCTGGATGAAGAGAATGAGTGAAGTTCATGTTCGGCTTTTCACAGCCCTGAGCACAACAGTGCAAAGCAACACAAACAGCAAAGTCCAGTGAGCTGACCTCTAGTTAAAAATACACTCTCCATTTTGTCCACACAGACTTACCTACCATTAGACGTGAAGCAATATATTAGACTTTGATAATTTACCTAATGAAAATGCATAAATGAACTGAAAAAAGACAGTATTGAGTGGTTGTCGGTGAGCTTGGGGACATTACATTAGATGAATTAGAGTCATTTAGTGTGAGTCATACAGTGTGGATGTGTAGAGGCAAAATAACTCAGGAATGTGAGCTTGGTAGGGTAAACCACACAAAAGGCACACTGTGTCAGACAATCAAGTGATACACTTAGAATTAAAGAAATATTTTGACTACTCTGATGTCATGTGGTTTTACATCTAAGTGAAATCATCAGAAGAGATTCTAGTTGTAGTTGCAAAAACTGACACCAAAACAGGAATAAAAGCAATGACAAGCTATAATGACTGAATTTAATATATACATATTTTCATTTGTTATGATGGCACTAAAGCTACAGCAGTGGTGTTGGCAGGGATGCCAGTTAACATTCCCACCACATGGCTGCACCATTTCTGTGTGAAACGGCACATTCAGGATTTCTGACAGAAGATTTACAGAGGCTTGCAAATCCTTGGTATACAAACGCCATAAATGTCCACCCTAACAAGTAATTTACTTCAATTTAACAGATTGGAATCTCACGTTTCTTTTAACAACTGAAAATCTATTAGATAAGGTAGACTAGGCTGAAAAAACAAGCAGAATAATCTACTGGCACATTTTTCACTTGCATTCAGAAAAATTAGTTTCTGGCTGAACACCAAATTATAGTATAGATTTTAATTCTCAATTAGCAAATAAAATACTTGAAAAGTGGATATTTATTGCAGTGTACAATAAATACAGCAAATATTTAATTGCAAAGCTTATAAATCGGCTTCAAAACTGAGAGCTGAATCAGCACTTCTCTGACACTGTCTCAAAAATGTTAAGTTATAAGCTTCACAAAGGTAGTATTTACTGCACGGCTATTGTACTGGTTGGTATTATATTATGATATATGCTCCTGTTATTTTGTCCACCCCCTGCATCTCTAACATGCATGTCAGCAAAAGCAAGCTGGTGGCAGGACGGCTCACACTGACTGACAGAAGCAGAGAGAGTGGGACTTTAAGAAAAAACAGGCAAACAATAAACTCAGGAACAGATTTGTTCTAAGAGAACTCATATAACTGAAGACACATACTTCAGACATCAATGTGACTGAATGCCCTGCAGTGACGATTCATGTTTGTTGTATATTTATGTTCATTATTGAGACTCATGCTCTTTGGATTCCTCCGCTGCTGGTGAGCGTAAAACAAATGTGTGCGTTTGACTGTGTAAGCAACAGGTAAAAAGTTTCAAAAAGGCTTTATGAAGAACCCCCAAAAAACAATAAAACCTCACAGGGTGTGTGCACTGTAGTGTAATACCTCCAACAACATTACGTGTGACAAAACGCACCTACGACAAAAGAGAGGGACACACAAATAAACATCCCTTGACTTTCATTTGACAGCAGATTCCTTTGGCTGTCCAGATACAATTGGCAGTGTCTTGCTCTTGATCCATAAGCATACATACACATTCATTCACACACTAGCGCATACGTACAGTACACACACACACACACATACACACACACTGCATGTACATGATGCAGTACATAACATGCACATACACAGATATAAATACATACAGTTTTTCATTAAATGCACTTCTGTGTCCACAGCTCTCCATTTTGAAAATAGCAAGGTGCATAAATAAAACATTCCCATTGTTACAGAAAAGGTCCATGCATGTCCGGCACCTCTGAGTTCACCAAGACTGAAGAAAATACAAGAGCCTTGTGGTATCTGGTTGCATCCCTTTCCGTCTCACCATTTCTTGATTGTGTTGTTGTTTTTCCTCTATCTGGCAGTGTTTTGACAGAAAATGGATGGGGTTTTTTTTGTCTCTCACAGATGGGTGCTGTCCTGCGTATCGAACCTGTGGCTCTCTGAGAGTCCGGCACTGCACTTCCTGCTGCTTCCCTGATTGGGTACCAGAGAGAGGGGGTCTGGTCTGATCAGGTACCTGCAGATGGGGGTAACAAATAGAGTCCTGTAATATTTGTAGTTTTTAGACTGTGTTCATTTTACAGTGCTATCAATTATATTTGGCGTTGTGTACTCACACAACATCGTGCAGCTCCAGTCTGGTGTCTGGAGAAGGGTTGATGAGGATATAAGACAGTCTGTTCCCTTGGTCTGTCATCCCATCTGACACAGGAAGAAAAGAGGTGAGTGAGGCAGAAAATAAAATAGGCACAGGATATACAGCAGGCTGTGCAACATCCGTACACACAGAACTGAGGATACGCAACTGTGAGTCACAAGACGGAAAGACAAATTTAGATAAAAATGAACACAAGCTGAATACATACAGACATACAACAGACAGTAAACAACAGAGGTGGAAGGTCCTTTACTTAAGTACCAATACACGCATTCAAAATCCTTATTTATAAAAAAAATTGTAAAAGTACATTACAATGACAGTACAGAAAGTACTGAGTTATATGTAATCATTATGTATGTGTACATGTATGTATATTTATATATATTTTTACTGATTGATTGATGTATTAATGCACATGTAGCATTTTATTGTTGTAGCTGTTTGAGTTTTTTTATATCACCATACTATATACTTTATGCAGTTCCCAAAATGGGGGTAATGATTAATGTTGTAAAAAGGAAGAAAAGAAGTTCTACTACACAAATTTGTATCATATTTATTTTTACTTTCCCTAATTGTTGCTTTTTTTGTTAAATATTGAATAATTTTATCTTGTAGACATCTAAAACTTGACAAGGGTATTCAAGAAAGGGGGTTACAAGTCAAAAAGGGTGGGAACCGCTTATTTAATCTTTAACAGTGTATTTAATTTTTTAAGCTCATCATTTATTTAAATCCTAATTTGTGAAGTAATTCGTGACTAGCAATCAAATAAACGTAATGGAGTAAAAAGTACAATATTTACTTCTGAACTGTAGAGGAGTAAAAGTATAGTATAGTATTGTATATACGGTACATATGGTTCAAGTACAAATACCTCAGAATTGTACTTGATTAAATGTATGTAGTTACATTCAACCACGAGTAAACCTATACTTTAAATCAGGAGCAGACTACTTTCACACACAAAAAATGATATGGCCTTACTGAATCCAGTTGGAGAAAGGCCCAGGTGTTTCATCCTGGTTCGCACCAGGGCGTTGAGTTCCTGTCTTTCTGAGCGCCGGAACAGGGTCAGTCTCTGCTGACTGATCCTCTCTGCCGCGCTGCCTGGACCCCCCTTGGCTGCATTAGAGCCCCGACCCCCCTTCCTGCTCAGCCGCCGTGCCCACTGCATGCTCTTCCTCCTGAGCAGCGGGTGGTCTGAGGAGTGGGAAGAGGTGGAGACGGGCTCAGAGGATGTGGAGTTCCGATGAGCACCGGTCCGGGACAAGAGGGGCTCTCTGGGTTCTCTGGTGTCCTCGTAGTCTTCCACTGTGATTGATACCTGGGACTGTGACACACAAACATGTCCACACATTCACAAACCTTTAATTTCCTTTCCTTATCAACCTGTTACTCACTTATTTTATTAAATTATTTCTTCACCAGTGATGACTCGGATTTCTCAAGATTAAGAGGAATTGATACTTTCTTATCATATTATAAATTAATAATCAAGGAGGGTTAAATCAATGAATAATCATTGAATAATGAACAAGATACCCTCTGTGGCATATAATGAATTTTACAACTAAACATCTTTTGTGTAACCAACATAACTAGTTTTTCCCGTTGACATCTCACATGTCAAACCAAAGATCTTACTGTCTTCATATCTGACTGTGTCTTCATAACTCAGCATACACTTGGCAAAACATGGACGGGCAGGGCTTTAGAGTCAAAGTTTGTTGACTTCAGTGAGCAGCCCAGTGACTTTAACCTGTGGATTTTGGCCTCAAAACTACTAACAGTAGCAGCTGACCTCAGAAACTGGAAGCTTATGTGCCTCTGTCCGGTAGATGCCAATTGGAATGTCTCCATTGGAGGAGCACAGTTTCTGGTATAGCCTGCCGTAGGTGCGGATCCACAGGTCGTCATCTGTGATTTTCATCTAGAAAAAAAAACAACACAATAAACAACCTCAGTTCAAGCTTCACAGTCCAAACGGACTGAATTCAAGCTGTTTGTTTTCGGCCACTTACAGCACAGAGGAAACCCGAGCCAGGCATGGAGTCTAAACCCAGTAGCAGTCTGGCGATGGAGATCATGTAGTCCTTCACAAATGACTTGCAGGAGAACATGGCACACATGTCAACAGAAAGAGATCATATTTGGCATTTTGACATTTTGGATTTTTCTTGTTCAGGGAAGAGTTTGAGATACCTGGTAGAGGAGAGTGTCCAGCATGCTGACACTGAACACCTTCCCTGCAGCGAAGGGCAGGCGGAACATAAACACCAGGTTGGACCCCTTCTCCCTTTCCTTCTGCAGATCAAACACAAACACACACACACACACACACACACACACACACACACACACACACACACACACACACACATTTTTCCCGATTACACTGGTCTTTGTAGAGATGAGATGATCTGATGAAAGTTGCTCAAAACCAGACTGTTTGTAAGCATCAT